ATTCATGGTAACGAAATAAAATGACAAACATGTATCAAATAAATCTGCTCACCTGCAATTTATAATGGCGCATTGTAGTCACCTTCGTGCACGAAAGTTCGTTCAATCTCAGCTGCTCAACATTTTCAGTTATTTGCTGTTGTATAGCCTCTTCTCAAAATGCAAATGATCTGTTAACTTTATTTTCAAAGAATAGTTTGTTTTGTTATTGTTTGGTTGGTGTCTTATATGAAACTGCGACATTGCGCAATTTATTGGACAGACTTGTTTAAGATCACACAGCGTAATTTGGGTGGCATTTTATTTCGTATTTTTAAATCATCTTTTTATTTTTGACAATATCTGTAAATGTAGTTTCCTGCTCTTAATTGGGAATACATACTTGATGGTTTTAAATGCTCCTGAAATTAAGTGCTGCTTGACAAGCCGATATTGTGTATGTATGTGACGTCACTGAAGGCCGAAGGTTGAAATGCACAGCCCGCCACTGGTTACCGCCAATGTGGAAAGTATCAAAACAGGCCTAGACAGCCCTCTTGCGGTTTAATGTGAAAATAACACGTGAAATTATATAATAATGTGTTGATAATTTCACAAAGTAAAAGTCAGACCCCCGGCCAAACTATATAAAAAAAAACTACGATTTATAGTCCGGGAAAGAGTGGACTATCTCTGTATGTGTACCAATGGCACATACACAAAATATAATTGCACCTTGAGTTACAAATGCTTCTTTTTACATACAGTTCGAGTTACAATTGTTGCAGAACAATCATGTCACTATGTACTATTTTCGGTTTATGAACGTTCTTGGTATGAACAAGCACAATTCTGATTGTTTAGCGCTTTATTTACATCTCTAGGAAAAGCTCAATATGTCGGTCAACACAGGACCGGCTTCCACGTTCATTCAACACGGCCACTTCTGGCATTTGTGATTGGGTGAATATATCGTACATAGGTGGAAACAATGGTGCAGCAGCTCCATGACATGATTATGTCTCGTCCAGGGAAAACCAAGACAACAAAAGTCTTTGTACAACGATGACATGAGAGAAACACCATTTACAGATCTGTGATGGAGCGACAACACAAGCAGTGGGGTGCGGCCCCTCTCAAACTTATTTTTTTCATCTTGGGAAGGGTTAAAGTGTAAAACAAACTCTAAACATGTTACCCATATGGTTATGTTATACAATACAGTACTTCATTGTCATTGGTTATATGTATTCGAAAATAAAACAACAAGAGAAAGAGGAAGGGCAGAGTGCCCCTGTCTTGAACTCTGTTCTCAGCACATCCCGTTTTTCATCTACCTGTCTGAAGCACAGGAAAACCACAAACTTGCGCAGCGATGAATTTGCATCACAACCCTTACAGATAGCAGGATATGTAATACAAGTTAAGACAGTTGAGTATAAAATTTCCACAGAACTACTCCGACATTAACCGTCTTAATTTAATTAAAAAAAAAAACAATGCTAGATTTTAATGAATAACATACACAATTGAACATTTTTTTATGTAAATGAAAATATTTTCAGATGTCACAAAGACAATGGCGATTTGTGGTTGGATGATCATGAATACGGAGGTGTAACTTCCTCCTACATATGCAACACCTTTTGCCTTCAATCACGGACGGACATCACTTGTTTTCATATCAGAGTGATGCGTAATGCACATTGCCGATGAAGGTTACCAGTACGTATCGCGAGAAGAATTACAACATGGATCCATCCGCTCGTGGGGAAACTTATGTCATAAAAGTAAGGTTTCCACCCATTCCTAAAATACGGAATAGTACACAGGACCTCCTGCTGGCATCAGTCTTGGAACTTTTTCTGGCACACGTGGTCGATTTATTTGACTTGAGAGAGGAATCACCACAAACTGCACATTAATTTTTTTTTAACAACAGTTTCGTGTGTTTATTTTTTTTTTCCTCACAGTACCGCTGTCCGAAAGTGCCACGTGGGCTGTGTGAACATCTCAAGCCTTGAATGTGACTTCAGCAGCCTCAACAACTTCCACCCCGCTTTGTATGGAAGGTATATCGCCACAGTACGGGCACAGCGTGGGGCAGAGCATTCTTCTTGGGTGGAAAGTCAACAGATGGTCTTGGAAAGCGATAGTGAGTCTTTATTTTTCTTTATTTTTTGTATGAACCATTTTAGAAAATATTGGGCACGTGTATTAAAAATACTGTACATCTTTTGACTTGACTGAATAACTGTTCATTGTCATCACCGCTGTCCCTGAAAGGGTTCAAGTCCATGTCAAATGTCAAAATTTGTATCGAAATACTTTTTACATGTTTGAATGCAGTTGCTGAAAACGTGTGCCAAGACTGAGAACTCAATTTTAAATACCGTAATTTCCGGACTATAAGCCGCGACTTTTGTCACACGCTTTCAACTCTGCGACTTATTTCATGAAGCGGCTTATATAAAGACTTTTCTAACGGCCGCCTGTGTAGCGTCTTTCTTTGTAAATATCTCATGTTACAATATGGGCACCTGCGGCTTATACACAGGTGCGGCTTATGTGTGTACAAAATATTTTTTTCCTTTAAAAATGTAGTGGTGCGGCTGATAATCAGGTGCGGTCTATAGTCCAGAAATTACGGTAGGTTCTTCTGTCTTGATTTTTGGGGCATGGCTGAAACTTGGGCCCCTGGCATGAGTCACCCCTCCTCCACTAAGGACTTGAGCAGCCCAGTGATGTCGTTTGGCGACTGGTCGGCAGTCACACAAGGTTAATTGGCATACCATTGCCTGCTGAGGGCTGGGTGTGTCAATAAATGCTACAATCGGAATTGGAGCTTGTTTATTTTCATGGTGTCGTGTTTCGTATCTCAAGGCACCAGCGTACTTCAAAGAAATATTTAACATGATAGTACTCAAATAAGACTAACTTGTTGCGATGCCGTTATTTCTTCTTTTTTTTTCTCTTTAGCTGTGATTGGTTCACCCAACGTGTTGCTCATTTCCAATGGGGCTACAATTAGAATTTCAATTCAAGATCCAGCATTTGCAGTCTCAGACCTCAGGAGTGTCTATGGCACGGCCAGCTACAACATCACTTACTGGAAAGATGGTCAGAATGAAAAGGTGAGCTCGATAGACTTAGTGTTGTGAGCCCTTATATAGTTCAATCATGGTGGCTTAGTGGTAACTGAATTCCCATGTGTAGTCTGCAGCGGTTATGAAGGCTCTATATAAATAAAGCTGTATTGTATTCCCTTTAGTGTAACTCCATGTAGTGGATGCATAGCACAACCACAGCCACTATTGTGGCTTCTATTCTATGCGCCTTATAATGCAGTGTGAAAACGGTTTTAAAATAGGCCATTCATTGAAGGTGCGCCTTTATCCGAAGCGCCTTATAGAACAGAACATCCCGGCTCGATTACTGCAATGCCCTTTACTTTGGAGTCAGCCAGTCTTCCATTAAGCGTCTCCAGCTGGTCCAGAATGCCGCTGCTCGCCTCTTGACCGGTACTCGTAAGAGGGAGCACATAACTCCTACTCTGGCATCCCTTCACTGGCTCCCCATACATTTTAGAGTTATTTTCAAGATCCTCTTATTTGTTTTCAAATCTCTAAATAACCTTGCGCCACCTTACCTCTCTGAGCTCATCCGCCCCTACACACCTGCCCGGCGCCTCAGGTCTGTGGACCAGACATTATTAGAAGTACCAAGAACTAAACTGAGGCTCAGAGGGGATCGAGCCTTTTCTGTTGCTGGTCCCTCTCTCTGGAATGACCTCCCACTGAGCATTCGGCAAGCCTCCTCGCTGCCCATCTTCAAAACCCGTCTCAAAACTCACTTGTATTTTTTGGCATTTGACTCAGCATGACTTAGATTGTTCTTGGTTTTGCTGTTCGGTGCTTTCTACTGTTTTTATTACCGATTTGCTTTACTGTTTGTTGTATATGTTAATTTGCTCCATGTACAGCACTTTGTATGCAGCGATGGCTGTTTGAAAGTGCTCTATAAATACAGTTGAGTTGAGTTGAGAAAATACGCTACCTGATTTTTTTTCTTCTCTTACTCGCTCTGTCATCTGCTGTTGAATTAACAGAGGACCCCCCTCCCCATTGCCCCTCCTTTTTTTTTTTTTTTTGTTTTGGCTTCTTACAGGCAAAAAGCATCAGCAGTATACTGCAAAACCCAATATTTCTAAATGACTTGGACCCTTGGACAAAGTATTGTGTCCAGGCTCAAATCATTGCAGAAAGGAACACCAAGCCCAGCAAGCCCAGCAGAACAGTATGTGAGAGCACCGCCGGTGGTAAGTATCACTCTCAAGTCAGATCGTTTATTTTCACTTTCTATCAAGGTGTTAATCTGTCGATAACCTGAAATGGTTAAATATGTCCGGAGGTCCACCCCAGTGTTGAGCAGGTTTGCGCAATCCACAACATAAATTATTCTTCCTGTTGCTCTTGTTGTTGCCTTTCTCAGGCATCTGTGTACATTTTTTTCTCATTTTTTTGTTTTTATTTGACAATCATTTTGGTTGTGTTAGAGCTTGTGCCATCAAAGTGATACTTAAAAAAAAAAAACAATGTCTTTTACTCTTGTTTATTATCTGTTTACATACTTTGCACCCTTTGGACACCTTCATAGATAAAAATGTGCATGCAAAAACTACGGCTCTTAAATCATTATACATCACTAGTGTGTGTGTGCATGCATTCTTTGAAAACTGTTTTTCTACGAGATATTTTGAATTGTTTTTTTTTTTCCCACTGGAAATTTGTGTTTTATTGTATTTATATTTATGTTTTATCAATTTAATTGTAATCTCCTGTTTAAAGTCCATCCATTCATCCATTTTCCGATCCACTTATCTGCACAAGGGTCGCAGGGGGTGCTGGAGCCTATCCCAGCTGTCTTTGGGCAGTAGGCGGGGGACACCCTGAACTGGTTGCCAGCCAATCGCAGGGCACACAGAGACGAACCACCATCCACGCTCACACTCACACCTAGGGACAATTTAGAGTGTTCAATCAGCCTGCCATGCATGTTTTTGGAATGTGGGAGGAAGCCGGAGTACCCAGAGAAAACCCACGCAGGCCTGGGGAGCACATGCAAACTCCACACAGGGAGGCCGGAGTTGGACTCGAACTTAGGACCTCTGTGCTGTGAGGCAGGCGTGCTCACCACCAAGTCAGAGATTGTTGACGTGATATGTGAAAAATATTCATTCATTAAAAAAAAAAAACAAACAAAAAATAAAACATTGATCCATGATGATTTTTGGTAGCAGTGTATGTACATTTTTGCCTCAAAGGTGTCCAAAAGTAGTGAAATTGAAGAGCCCGAGGTATGGTAAGAAATCTAAACAACGCATCTTCTTTTTCTTGCAGAGAACACCGAAGCGAAAGCTGTATGGGTGCCTGCACTGGTCACGTTTCTGGTTATGGCAATGGTGGTCACTCTTGTGGGGATTGCAGTTGTTTATCGAAGAAGGATTTCCCATTTTCTTTGTCCAAAAGACAAACTGCCTGCGGTGTGTATTCATATTATTTCTATACTTGTATATATTTTTTTCATGTCATGGGGGGAGGGGTACAGTTTGAAGTGCGTGGTGCAAGTAACCATCGAGTTGGCTGCATGTCATTTTGAACTACCGCTCAAACAGAACCTGTTTTGTCCTTCTAGCACCTGTTGGCAACCCCGGGCTCACCTCTCTACTGGGCCATGCACAACTCTGACCAACTTGAGGAGCTCTACAATTCAGTCAATGTCATTGCAGAGGATAAGTCTGTGGAATAATGGCAGAAAGGTCCTTGGAGGAATCGTGGACAATCACCTGCAGAAAGCTTGTCACCGAGACAAGACGCGAAGGCCTCCAGAATAAGTAATAGAAAAGCAGATTCATTGCTTCTGTGAGCGGTTATCCCAAACGTTGAAAGAACGCAAGGCTTTGGTTCTTCAAAGGTTAGTTGAAGCCAAAATGTTTTGAAAGTGTTCCATACTGGTTATGCAGTCAAACCAAATGATTACGGAACGTTAGCCTACCAAACACTTTTTGGTTCCCAGAATGTTCTGGGAACATAAGCTTCTTGCTGCGGTCATGTTCCATGTAGGTCATGTTTGGCCAGGTTTCAGATATGTCCAGAACTGAATTTCAAGACACCAAATTAGCAGTGAAAACCTAGTGATAAAAAAATTGTAGCAGCACAGTTCTTTTATTTTTGTACCATGGATTTATCTGTCTGTCTGTTTTGTGTGAAACTTCCGGGCAACAATGTTTGATTCAAGTTGATTTAAGTACATCAGGAAAAACCCTGAACTCTCCCTTAAAATAGTTATATTTGTCACAAATTTCAATTCAGAATTTCTGAAATGTTTGCTTGATGTCAGGTAAAGGAAGTTTGTAATAAATGTCATATATATATTTTGTAATGTATACATTTTATAGGTGCAACGGTTAATCGACAATAAATCAATGATTCCATCCAGCAGCCACCAATTTTCTACCGCATATGCAGGGTCAGGTCACAAACGCAGCAGGTTCAGCAGCCCGACTTCAGGGACCACCTTTACGTGGTGTCGGACAAATCCAAGAGTCCCCGATCACAGCTATGCAAAGGTTTTTTTTTTTTTTTTTTTTTCTTTCTCCCTCTCAACTCGACTTCTACACGTATCTGCTCAACATCAACAACAACAGCAGCTTCAGCAGGGAAGCCGAGACTTTTCTCTCCCCAACCACTTCTTCCGGAGGAATCCCAAGGCATTTCCAGGCCGGCCGGGTGAATAGTTTTTTCAGCGTGTCCTGGGTCGTCCCCCGGGACCTCCTGCTGGTGGGACATGTCCGGAACACCTCAATAAGGAGGCATTCAGGAGGCATCCTAATCAGATGCCCAAGCCACCTCATCTGGCTCCTCTCAATGTGGACGAATAGCGGCTCGGCTCTGAGTCGGCTCAGCTCCGTCTTCACCACAGCAGACCAATACAGAGTCTGCATTACATCAGACGCTGTACTGATCCACCTGTCGCTCTATCCTACCCTCACTTGTCAACAAGACCCCAAGATACTTGAACTCCTCCCCTTGGGGCAGCATCTCATCCCCAACCTGGAGAGGGCACTCCACCCTTTTTATCCCAACTGCTTTACACTCTGCTGTGAACCGCTCCAGTGAGAGTTGGGGGATCATGGCTTGAAGAAGCCATCAGTACCTCATCAAAGCAGAGATGTAATACTAAGGCCACCAAAGAGGACCCCCTCAACGCCTCGGCTGCGCCTAGAAAGTCTGTGCATAAAGGTTACAAAGGGCAGCCTTGGAAACCCTCAACTGGACACAAATCCGACTTCTTGCCGGCAATTTTTCCCTATTTTCTGACATGTTCTGGACTAAGATAATAACAGAATCATAATTAATTTGTGTGTGCACTGTTAATTTTAAATAATGTTCTGTTTCAGAATAAAGGAATGGAAATGTAAATATTTTTTTATCCAATTCATTGACTAATCGACAGATTAAATGCTTATTAAAATAATCATTATTTGCTGTCCTAATTCATTTTAATAATCTGTGTATCCATTTTTGATATTGCTTTTCCTCATTTGGTCGCTGACCCGTAAGTCTGGGATGTACCGTAGTCCTCATATCGACACTTGACAAGGTTTTTTGTTGTCTCTGATTTGACTCGGACTTCTTGACATTTGACTCGGACTTTTCTCGGACTCGGTCATTGGATTAACAGAATATTTTTATCGACTCAACCAAGTTCAACGACTATTCCCTGGTGCCGACTCTCCTCCTCATCTCCCCACTGAGGTCGACCATCATTAATAAAGCAACATTGTTCTTGAAATTGTTGTTTATCTGCACACATGGTTAATAAAGTAAAGGGGTACATGCCATCTAAGAAGAGTGTTGAGCACAATGAAATGAGCACTTTGTGTTTGTGATATTTGTATTTTTCTATTTTAACGTTTACCCTTGATCTCATCTGGACTTGGAGTTGGACTCAGATCTTTGTGACTTGGACTTAAATTGAATTCGATCAAGGTGGACTTGACTACAGGCCTGCCATAAGCTTGTGTCTATCCCAGCCGAATTTGGGAGAGAGGCGATGTATATCCTGGTCTGAAGAAACTTGAGTGCACAAAGCATTGTTGAGAGGAAAAAATGGAATCAGCAATTGTGGAGGACCTTCTGGATTAGATGGAAAATGGAAAACATCTGTTGAAATCTGGGGTGTCAAATTCATTTTTAGGACAGTGAAACCAAATAAATGTTTAATCATCTCATCATATTCTTACTTGTACACAACAAATTGATCGATGACTCATTTTGAAATCAGTCAACTGTAACAGTTTGCTCAATTATTGTTCAAGAGTGTAAACAGGGTAAGAAAATTATTGCAAAATAATATAAGTTATTTATTACACATGACAATTTGACATTTAGGTACACTTAAAGCAAGGATCATGGAAGTTGACGTGCGTGATTTGCTTCCGTGAGCCACATAAAATGATGTGGCGAGCCGTATCTGGCCCCCGGCCTTGAGTTTGGCACCTGTGGTTGAAATAATAGTTGATGCACCAGTAGAAGGGGACTGGATCAGACCACGCTGCTGTCACACAAGGTTGAGATTGATAACACAGAAACTCATTGGAAAGTTAAACACTGTTTCAAAAATGTTTTTTGTTTATTGCAATCCATACAATAAAATTCTTTCCAAAATAGGTGCCGAAGACTTAGAACCTGTGATTAAACAAAACAAAACAAAAAAAAAAATCCAAAACACTTAATTGCTAGAATATCGATAATGCGTTTGTTGTGCGGACATATCAAAGGTCTATTTTTGCAATGGATATTATGTCAGCATATTTGATAAACTTTCAGAATGCAGTTGTGCATGAATTTGGCAGTTCAGACTTTGACACAATTCTTGTTATGGAACAGGCAGACAAGAATACAGAAAAACACCAACAGAAAAAAAATACACCGATTGCAAATTACAAATAGTATATGTAGATGTAAAGAAGTAGTGAAACAAAACAAAAAAAAACACTAGTGCAAAAGATCTAAAAGAGTTAGTTTTAAACCAGGATTAAGCTTCAGGAGCTGGACAAGAAAATTGAGTATTTCACAATACAATACAGTACAATACATTCACTTTAACAACATCTGCAGCTGTAACAAAGCACAAGCAAACACCTCATAAACGACACTATTTAAAGGACATAAAATACAGTAATTGACAGGTAGTAAGTCATCTGTAAGGATTTAGGCTTGTATTAGGCGTAATGTTTCAAATCCAGACAAATGTGAAAGAAAAACAAAACCGCAATTAGCTGTTGGGGAGATTCATGTCCACTTCCTGGTTAATGCCAAGGTGCCCTTGAGCAAGGCACCCTCCACAACTCCCCACTTTAGAAGGTGCAGCACCGTTTGCGCGTCCCGTTCACTCTCTGCTTGCACGCTTGTGAACTGCTTCTCCGGGTGGTGGTCTGTGAATCTGAATGGATTTTCCCCATTTTATGATCACCCGTTTATCATCCTCCTTGTAAATTATTTTTAAAAAGTGATCCCACTCCAGTCCACGCGGTGGTAATAACGCACCTACAGCTCTTATTTGACTGCCGTTTAGAGATGGAGAAGGCTTCCTCTTTGAGCTCAACAAGGAGACGATGTGTTTTTCAGACATCAATCTCGCCCCACCTTGAACCCGAAGAGAACTAATGGAATACACGACTACCCATAACGGCACGTTCCGTGACCATTTAATTTTCCTTTTGCTTTCTCTTTTTGTGAAGATCCATGCAAGTCATGGTAAGTTTTTGTTTGTTTGCCTGACGTTAGTGCGTTTGTACTGTGACCGAACAATGCTGTCTTAACAATTTGACGTCCAGAAAACATAGTACTGTACTTGTAGACAGGAATTTTTATTTATTTATTTATCGACAGGTTGATTTTTGTTGGTGTACTGTATATGTTTTTATGTACAGATCAAGTGACACCCAATATTGAGTTCTAGTTGGGACACATGAAACAATCCATATGCGCCGGAATCAAAAATGCACGTATAGCACACTACAAGGGTCTTTTTGCGGGTAGCAATAACACGGAAGTCGAGTTGTCCTTTTTTTTTGTTTCAGTGATTGAAGCGCTGCCTCCACCACGGAATGTAGTTTTGATGACCATGAACACCAATTACACACTGAAGTGGGGCTGGAACGAGACGACTTCGAAGACTGAAGCTGTTTCGTTTTCGGTCCAATATATTTCGTGAGTAGAACTGCATATTACAATTTTGAGCTGTGTCTGTGAATGAGACATTTTTATTGGCTTAGATACATTACTAATCCAAACATCATTTGTGGAAACATCCATTTTTCATGTGAGAAAAAGTATTACAACTTATGACGGAGGTGGTTTGTTATGCGGGAGTGTCCTGTTTGGCTCAACCCAACTGTATTTATCGAGCACTAAAACAATCATAGCTGTGTACAAAGTGCTGCGCATGTAGCAAAAATAAACCATACAACAAATTAATAACAAAGACAGTAGATTGCACAAAAACAGTAAAACTACAAATAAAGTCTGCTGAGTCAAAATCCAAATAATTAAAAACGAGTTTTGAGACAAGTTTTAAAGATAGGCATTTTTTTGTTGTTGTTCTTGTCTTTCCAGGAAATACAAGCTCGAATCCAAGAAAAGGCACAACTGGTCTATTGCCTGTGACAAGACGTCTTCCAAGTTTTGTGACCTTACCGCATATAACCTACACTATTTGGGCATCTACATGCTGCGTGTACGCACCAATGACAATCACAGTCATTCAGACTGGGTGCAGAAAGAATTTTGTCCTGAGAAGCATGGTGAGTAATTGTAGGAAAGTGGGGAAACGTTCCAGAAAATTGACAAATTAAGACACTTCAATTCCTTCTATCCACTTTCTTTTGGGCAAGGCACCTATTGCTGAAGGCGGCCGTATGGCTGGATTGTATCACTTAGGTAGAATGCTTGTAACAGCTGTCAACTGTCCGTTATCGTTAGTCCATCATATTTTCAAGCCGAACCAAACTGTAATCATCAGTCAGTCACTCCATTGTTGCGTCAGTAAATTTCACCGGTCCGCCAAATCATTTCCAATCCGTCAGTCCCCCCCCACCCCCCCAAAAAAGTGAGGAAAAATCTAATTTGATTAAAATGGTGTTGCAGTACTATATATATATCAATGTGCCTAAATCAGGGGTCGCCAACCTTTTTGAGAGTGAGAGTGACTTCATTACTGATTGTGTGAAGGGCTACCAAATTGATACCACGTCCGAAATAACATTTGTCCAAATTACCTTTAATAATATGAGCATGTGTTATTTTTCATACACGATGATTCAGCCGGCTTGAGAAGCTTCATTGGAAGGAATAAGCTGACAGCCTACGTTGGGGCTCTTTAGCGCCCCCGAGTGGCTCCCTAGAGCTTTTTCAAAAATGTTTTGAAAATGGAAAAAGATGGGAGGGAAATATATTTTTTTGTTTTAATATGGTTTCTGTCAGAGGACAAGCATGACACAAACATTATTAACGTTTTCCGATGCTGTAAAAATGTGTAGAATAAATATTAAATGTCAACATTTTGTCAACGACTATTTGCGTCATAGCCTGCGACACACGTTTGTATTAGCAGGGCGGGATGTTACGGCCTGCGTGTGTAAGTGTGTGCGTATGCGCGCATGTGCGGTAACGGGTCAATCGCAGAAGATTGGTTGTTCGAAATGTAGATCTTCCGTCAAAAAGTTTTGGGCACCCTTCCTCAACAGGATGAACTGCAGGGGGAAAAAATACTTTTTTAATCATGAATGCTCGTGTATTTGTACCCAACTTAGTTATGTTGATAGCAGGCTAATATAGCTCATATAGATACATACAGCATGCGTTGCCTTCATTATACGGCTTTTTATTTTTTGCGGCTCCAGACATATTTGTTTTTTGTTTATTTTGGTCCAATATGGCTCTTTGAACATTTTGGGTTGCCGAGTCCTGGCCTACATGAAGGGTGTGGGGTGGGCGATGAACACTCAGACTCATGCGTTAACAGAACTCAATCGCAAAGTGAATGCGGTGGTCAAGTCGCTTCGCAAAATGGAAAAGAATGAGGAGTAGTTGGCTCGGCCTGGAAAATTGATTGAGGATTCAACAAATTCACCCCATTTTTGTCAGGCTCAAACCAAGCTCCCGTTTAAAGAGAATGGTTGGAGTCTGGTGGGGTTTTTTTTTTTCTCCTTCTTTTCCCTATTGTTTTCTGTTCACAACATCAAACCGCCAGGCTTCCTGTTCTGTCACCCCCTGTTGGTCATTGTTTTGTTGATGTTCCTCTGGACGGATTGAAACTGGGAAAGTAAATTCCTTGTCCGTGTGTTTTATACACTTGGTCAATAAATCTGTTTCTGATCTGCACCCATTAATCCATTTAATCCCAAAAATTTCCCAGACATTTAAAAGTCAAAATCAGGTGTCATTGGTAGCCCTTTTAAGTAATCAGTAATAACATTTTTTAGAGCCCTGTAAATTAAATAATTGTTGTCCTTCACAAATGTGACCGGTGAGAATAAATGGGTTAAGGATATGCGCAAAATCTTAGGCCTAACAAGCCACCGTAGCCTGACATCATGAGAAATATTAGCCCGTCGTGAATGTTGGTCATTCGTCATCCATCGTCTTTTGTTTAGGTACTCCATTGCCAGTATGTTGGAGGTCAAAGCAGCTCTAATAACAAGGGTTTGTGTTTTAGATGCCGCCCTTGTCATTTCTGTACAATGAAAGCACCGATCGTCACAATTGTCTATCTTTACAGAATACAGTGGTACCTCTACTGATGAAATTAATTGGTTCTGGAAGAAATTTCTGAACTAGAACATTTTGTAAGTCGAGACGCGTTTTCCATGTAAATGCCCAAATCCCCCCCCCAATTCAGACGTTTAAAAAAAAGCATAAAATGCGTCAAAATGTTACAGTTAGATTATTGCACAATAAATGAGGATTCAGCATAGTGTAACAAAGAATAAAGAATAAAAATGATGGTCATTTAACTTTTAACCGTATCCTCATTGTTTTTTTGCCCTCTTTTGTTCATGTTCTCTCTCAGAAGTGGTTTTTGCCTGGTGTTTGGGGAATTGAACCAAGGGCATTTGCTTTTGTCGGCTTTTAACAATCCTTCGAAAATGTCCAAGGCAAACATCAGCATAGTGTGCGATCGCCCCACTGGTAAACACTTTTTCTGGGTGATTCACATTTACTTAAAACTATCGGAACACCTCACTGCCCGAGGGGCGAATGACGAGGACGCTGCATCGACACGTCTATCAGCACACACAGACACATACGATAAAAGTCCCTCTTAGCCAATGGGATGCCAAAATGATGCTCGATAGTAGCCAATGGCAGAGCAGCAATAAGTCTGTTGCGTTCAGGAAACTCGGAGCTGCGAGTAGCAGTCCATATTGTACTTTTACCTTTCGTATCTTCAAATTTATTTCGTAACAAGAGGCAATATTTTCCTGTTGAGATGTTTTGTAACTCGAAAATTTCGTATAAAGAGACGTTCGTAATTTAGAGGTACCACTGTATAGTTCACTTGCAAAAAGCACAGTGTGAATACGAACCTCAACAAACTTGTTGTTTTGTTGTCTCGTTAAGAGGGAGGAAATTTCGTCTGTGCTGTATGTTGCACATACAGCGCATTTGCCAATAAAGTTGTACTTGACTTGATATAAAAACTAGGTCCACTTTTGGTTAGGACAAACAGGCGGGCCAAAGGACCTTTCTGGTGTGAATACATCCCTAACCTTGTTCAGCAATCTAACTTCACCTTTTCAACAGCTGCTTGGGTTTGTGCCAAAGCACCAGATCCTAAAGAAACCCCCCCAATAAATCATAATACTGTCACTCGGGTGTAGCCTAAAATTTCAGTGCCATGGCCGGGACGACACAATATGTCTCACATAGGGGTGACCATCCGCATGCACGCATATCATTCGCTTTATTGTAACCCCCTTTGGAACTGACATGTCATTGTTTGTCATACAACTCACAGGCAGGGTTTCATGAAAAAAATTGCATACGTTCAGAACCTTGCCCAACACACTCATAAAAACAAGCAGGAGCAAGTCTAAGTAAAACGCAATATTTTGCTGTGTTTAATTCACTAAAGCAATGGTTTTGATTGACATTGACAGTAAGAATTACATGTTGTTTACCAAAGGCTGTCTTTTCCAATTGCCATTCAGATGAATTGTAATTGTAATCTTTAAATATGCAGTTACTTTCAATAACTTGTGACGAGGTGCCAAGGGTTTTTATGAAAACACTGCGTTCATGTGAATCAAAATGGCATAAAAGTCCCACGTATCAAAATCCTTCCCCCACATGTTGGGGTGGCCAAGAAGTGAGAACCCTACGCAGCATCGCCCCTGCTGTAACCCCGATACTTCACTGCGGGTCATTTTCTCAGTTCCTTGTCTTCATTTATGCCACATGTATTGGGGGTTATAAATACTATTAATTGTTGAAGCCACCGATTTTCAGATCTCCTTTCTCTTCTGTCTTTGTAGCTGCAGTTGGTCCACCATCCAAAGTGGAATTGGCTGTTTCTGTGAACAACCTTGATGTTTTTATCTCCGATCCACTGACCAATTCAAATCGCTCGATGAAAGTGAATCTTCCCAAGATGTATTACAACATTGTGTACTGGGAACATCATGCAAACAAGCGGGTAGGAACTACCAACTTTAAAGTTTCTCGAACCCACACAAAATTTATTCGCTTTTATCATGGAGGTGGAAAGTTCATCAAATTTAACTGTACAATCGATGATAAATGGGATACATTTATATTGCAGATTTATTTCCTCTAGATTTCCAAGGTACAGTGAAACTCCTCTACAACGAAATCATGTTTGCAGGAAGAAATTTTTCACAACAGGGGGTTTTTCACTTTAGCAAATTTGATCTCAGATGTAAACACACACACATACAAACGTTTGTGTACTTTTTATTTTTATTCCAATAGTGCATAAATATGAGCATACACTTATTTGACACTTCATATAGTCAGTGTAGAAAGAAAAAAAGGGAAAGAAATTGCGAAATTTACGATCAGCGTTCACTTTCATTGACAACAATTTCTTGGATAATGTCTTTTATTTTGTTTCCTCCGTCTTTCATTTTGATCACTTTTACCCTCTCTTCCAGCGTCAGAGCTCTTCTAAGTCTTAGCTGCTTGACATCCAAAGGTCCGTTTTGTAGCCATTTTAGCAATGCAACGTTCTTGCTGTGTCTGAAACTAACAATAACAAATACTTCCTGGACTACTGCGCATGTGTAAACCAGTGTGGTGGTTGCTGTTGCCGTTTCCGAAAGAAGCAGTAGAGGTCGCTGTTGGATTAGACTTCGTTGTAGTGAATCTCGTCGCAGGCAAGAGCAGAGAAAAAGATTTTGTATAGCGCAACAGGGTTTTTTTTCGTTGTATGGAGGGCAGTAAAGTGGGAATGGTGTTAATGCATGAAGATTTTTTTTCACACTAGGGGGTATTTTCGCCCATGTAGGTTTCGTTGTAGAGGAGTTTCACTGTATAAGTCGCACCCACTACATTTTTAAAGGAAAACCCATTTTCTTCACGCACAAGCCGCACCTATCTATAAGCCGCAGGTGACCATATTGTAACATGAGATATTTGCAAAGAAAGACGGTACACAGAAAGGTTTCAACGTTTAATAACATACCTTAACTTTTGTTTCACTACGGCAGTAAAACAGCACTCACACGGCTGGTTTAAAAAAAAAGAAAAAGAAAAGGCACCGTTCCCTGTCGAGTAATGCTTTGTTTTAAAATGAAAAAAATCCTCGCTTATCGCAATACTTGGTCAGCCATTCTTCATCCGGTTTTCTACCATCCACGCTTTCGTGTCAACTTTCACAACAATGTCTTTCGGGAGGTTTTCTTTTGACATGTAATCAGGTGAACAATACTATGACTGTTGTAGTGAATGCTCCCTCGCTTAATAAGTGGAGCACTGTCACTTTAAAAAGAGCGTTGGATAATCTCGTGAAACTTCGATCAGGAAGTGAAGTGAGACGAACGCTGAGCTGTGCTTATTCAGACCTGTTGTATCTGCAATCGGAATTGTAACACGGCTGATAATCAAGAGTGAATATCGTCATTTGGGAATTTGAACGGCGTCGCATGATGGGTCGTGTGAACAGCCGTGAAGCAGGGGAGATTTGTTGTTTTCCGCGTGTTTCGGGCAGATACATGCCGAAAAATGCTCTCAAACCACTACTGTTGTCTATTTTTGGATATTTTTTCTAATTGTTAGTCCCATTCGACATATCTCAGAAAATGTACAGCATTAATAAAATAAAAGACTATGTTCAGTCGTGAATAAAGCCTTCATAAAAATTATTTTGTGTTCGGTCAAGTCTGTCATTGACCTGGCCACAACGCTTTCGGATTGCAGTCCAGCTCAAAACACAGATGAAGTGCGCCCTCTCATGGCCAATTGTATTCATTTTGACACATGATAGCGTCTCACTCTTACCTTATCTGCTCGAGCGCTCCCTGGTGGCCGTTGGAAAAATCTTTAAACAGGCCGCATCATTCAATAAACCGCAGGGTTGAAAACGTGTGACAAAAGTAGCGGCTTATTGTCCGTAAATTATGGTACTTTTTACTTCCTTTGTAGTCTGTCTAAGCAGAATTCCGGAGAAAAGGTGGTGCAATATTGACAACTTCAGACATTAAAGATTTTCATTTTTCTTCAGTCTGCAGTTAACCTCCATTAACTACAGTATTTTGTGATATTATGATATTAAATGATTATTTTATATATGTGTGTATGTGTGTGTGTGTGTGTATGTGTATATATATATATATATATATATATATATATATATATATATACATATATATATATATATATAAAAAGCTTGTTTTTTGGACCATCTGGTCTCAGGAGTTTTGTCTCACATCCTGCATACCCCTTAAGCCATTTTGTGTGGGAAAGAAAATGAGTGTGATGTCTTGCCATGTGCTATATATTTATATTACAGTACTGTATAACAATAACGATAATTAACTGCTTGTCTCTGGCTTTCAGATCCCACAACCCCAAATTATGAACACCAGTACGAATATGGTAACTCTGACAGACCTGAAATTTTGGACATTGTACTGTGTTCGGGTCCAGTCACGTTCTGACCGTCCCGACAAGAGCAGCAAATTCAACTTGCCGCATTGCATTCAGACTGATGGTATCTAAAATGTTTTTTTTTTTTTTTAATATATTGAGTTTTAACTGACTCAAACCATCCTTTGTCGATTTTCTTTTGAGGTCAAATTAACAAATGTAACTGTTTGAATAAAAAAGAAAATACAGCCCACATTTTATCCTATTTTAAAACTACTGTGCAGATACAAATGACCACAAATCGACTCTGAGCATTAATAGGATACATGACATGCTACATGACACAGTAATAATCATTTGTGTTTCTACTTTTCAACAGGCTTCATTCCTTGGTGGCAAACTGTTGTGTACTTCTTGGGCTCTTTGGTAATGAGTTGTACAGTTGTGCTCCTCCTCTTGTATATTCTCTTCAGATGTTATAAGACATTCAAGGCAACGTTCTATCCCTTGATCCAGCTTCCACAAATTTTCCAAAAGGTATGGAGGGAATACACGCACACACACAAAAAAAGAAACATTTTCTAACACAAGATGTTTTTTTTTTCACTGTTTCTTTAAATCAGGGCTGTCAAACTCATTTTTTGTTGCGGACCACTTCAGAGTTATGGCTTCCCTCGGAGGGCCGGTGCAAAATCTCAACGTTATTTATTACCCATGACAATTTGACACTGCGGTACAGAATTCAGCAAGAATTCACCTGTGCTTTAAATGATTCTATCTTTCACACTGGCACATTAATCTTATTTTCGTTAAGCTTTTCATCCATCCATCTATGTTGACTTATTCAATCCCCATGATGTATAAATACAGCTTGAAAATCTGCGACAGCCGCCTACCTAGGAAGTATTTATAGGTCAGTTCCTTTTTCTTTTTCATGTGACGCAGCCCCTTAATAACGATCAGGCTTGTCTGCATTGTAAACCGTTTAAAATGTGTCCAGCAGGTGGCATCGGGTGTAAGGGATAGGCCAGGAACACAGATGCAGAACAAGTAAAAATAGAGAGGGGGGGGGCGGGGGGGTATAGCGTGTAGTTAGAATGCATTCAAACCAGTAGTGATGGAGGAATTAAAACGACCCGTGAGGATTGCTGTTTGCCCATGACGAGGGAAAGGAGTTTCTGAAAGCAGCAGTACGCTTTCATTTGTGCAAAAGCAGCAGCCATCAAAATAGGCTTCGCGTGCACCAACATCGTCAGCCTCATTCAAATGCCACACCGCAGTTAGAGTGTCTTTGCAAAACCAAGGGAAATGAAATCAGAATGCGGTGCAAGACATGTTGTGTGCCCATGTGTCAGGGCAATTGCTTCATTTTGTATTACACGCACACACAAATATGTGTTTACTTAATATTTATAAATTAAGTATAAATTTACATACAGTGCATTTACACATGCAGGCATACACGTGCACACTCACTGAATTGGTTCACTTCTGTTCATAGTTCATTTCAGCAGTCCAATAGAGTGCAGATTAATAATTTTGTGACAAAAAAGCCTTTTTGTGGTGTTGTTCATTTCGTTTATTATTTTTATATTTTTATTATTATATTTTATTGTCTTATTTAGATGTTTTGAAATGTCACAAAAGCAAAAAAAAATATAGTGGTACCATACTTGAAATTAACAATTGGTAACCTCACAAAAAGCAATATGGTAACAATATTTAATTTATAAGATCTTGGGGCAAGGGGAATACCAGTGACGTATGCCATTATGTCCGTTTATCTTCCCAGTATCCTCTTGACCCCCTTGGGTCTGATATTCCTTGTCTTCTGCCCGTGGAATCTGAAGCTGAACTCTTTTGTGATATCGTCACAATATGTCCAAAACCTCCGGAACATCACAGTCACTCCTCAAAAGATCCATCGATGCCCCCTTTCGGTCTGGAGCCTGCTAGTAGTTCAACGTAAGTTCACTTTGCATTGTTTTTACGTAATGATCATTTTTAAGGCTAGCTCATGCTAATGTCACAAACTAGCAATCACATCAACTGAATGTTGAAATGCCGTGATTTCTACTCTATTGTGGTGACCGGAGCCTTTAGTGACCTAATCCACCTTCTAATGTTGCCACTATCAATCTTGGACTTTTCCAAAATAACAACCAAAAATGCAATATAATTATGCGTGGCATTAGAGCAAAAGAGGCATTTGGGCCGAGTTCCGTTATTACTTAAACAACAAACACAGTTCACCTGTTACCTTACAACAATGCCAAACCTTGACTGGAATATCATTGAACAGGCCAAAAACCTTAAATAAAATACATCGTCACCAGAGATGACAATTTGTTATCTTTCCTCTTCAGGGTGAGTTAGTTTACTAACTCTTGAGTCAGAGCTCGCGAGTCATCGTGCTGTTCAGGGGTAATGTGGACATGTCAATTAAATCCATTCGTAAGGTTGAAACACATCAGTCAGCTATGGCATTGGTCGACCCATCCTCACAATGTCCCCATTTTTCTTTGGAAAGTCCATCTCGAAAATACATTTTTAATGTTGTCCGACATTCACCCTCATCAGTCACCCGGCACACAAATTGCAAGATTCAGCTCTGATCAACCAGTCAGAGATCGAAAGAATGCCTCTGAGTGATGTCACGCTCAACTTTTGTGAAGGCCCAGTTTTGTGAGTCTAAAATCTGATTGCTTAAAAAACAAAACGAAACAAAACAAAAAAAACATCTGCTATTGCTAGTAGCGCATATGTGTATGGGCCTCCTCTTGATTATGAAGGCCTTTGGCAGATTACATTGACAAATGCTAGAAATTGAAGATAATACAGGTCGGACTGTAGGAAATAATCCCATTACATCTTGGTCGAGCTTCTGCGAGTGTTAAGGCCTTGGTGGCCTGCTATCATGTAAGATGTATGTATAATGGCGTTAACTTATTGAATTTAATGAGCCAAGAAAGCCTTTTGGGGGCTCGCAGGATTATATTTTTGCAGCCCCCACACTTGAGACCAAATTGTAATGTTCGTGCAGCCCCCATCTTTTTTTTTTGCCATGTAATTGACCTGGCCATTTTGTGCTTTTAAAAAAAAGTTTTATTTTTATTTTTTTGTCATTTATGGGATACTATACCTCAGGCTCATCACAGCTTTCGGCGAAACGTAATTCTGAAGTGAAACCAAGTGGAAGGAAAATATGCTGTCACCCAGTCCCAATCGTGTCTTTTTTTTCAAAACCTGTCATGAAGTGAAAGGTTGACACCGAAAACGGACAATTTCAAGAAAAACATGAGACTGAATGTTTGTTGTGCACAAGGGTAGAACCACATCTTGAATACATGGGGAAAGTTGCAGTTTTCAATGAATCAGACTTCATTTCGCAACTACATATGCTGAAGTGTACGCAAAGTGCCAGGGAGATTAGATGGAGGAATGACTCGCCAATCTTGCTCACGCTCTGCAGAACCATTCATGTTCTGAAGTTTTTTTGACTTTGACAAAATTGGATTATTTGTACTTTTTTTTTTTGATACTTGAACGCTCTTTTTGTGGGATATTTGATGCAGCCCAAGCAGTCTCAGACTCTCATTTCCAGCCACCCCTCCACTTACTTACTCTAAATTGAGTTTCAGACTGCTGCTTTCCAACAAAATTTCCAATCAACCTGGTCAGCAGAACAAAGATTGTTTCATTCATTTTTTTTTTCCAATCCATTGAAGACATCATCCTTTGCTTCTACTTTCAATTTGGTAGTTATCAAGCAGTTAAGAAGCCAGGTTCTTCTCAACTATAATTTATCACTCGTTAAAAGTAATAGATTACAAGACCTAAATTGTAATTGTGTTACAATTCTCGCGCGTTACTTTTTTCACCAAATCCCCAAAAAGTACAGTACTTTGACACAGCAATTCTTAAAAGCAGAATCTTTTTCGTCAGCTCTTGATGAACAGTTAGCTGTCGAATATTAAACTTGGCTGCAACTATTTTCTGCTACTCTGCGCATGTCGCTGAAAAGAAAATGTCCGTTCGGAATCGAAAGTGATCTGTCGTAGTTGCACAAAGAAGAAAAATAAGTCTGAACTAAGTGATACAAGACACATAAAGTCATCAGTGCAAAACATTTGTGAATTACATCAACATTTTTGTTCAGAAAAAAATATATCCTGAACTCCTCCCATGTTAACACCTTTCACCGATGTTGCACAGCTGTAATATTCAGCACATAAATTATAACGAGGTCTGCTATGTTCTGTTTCCTTTCCAGTGCTCTGTACAATCATCAGGACATAAGGAGAAGCACAGACTCTGGAGTTTACTCCACTGAAGGCAGCAAATGCCAGCAACATCAGTTAAACAGCAGTCAATCCTCCTTCGAGGCCGACCAAGACCCTGTTGACTTGGATCCTGTGAAAATACACGACATGAGTCCAGGGCATGACAGTCAGTGTGAGAATGCGGTTGAAGGTTTTATAGACCTTTGTGTCTGAAGATATGCAGTGGAACCTCTCAGGTGAAACAAAACTAATTTCCCAACAATGGCGTATTTTCTCCCAAAATGTAGTCATACAATTTAGGAGGGTCTCTATCCATCCATCCAAACCGCTTATCCTCCCAAACGTTGCGGGCATGGTGAAGCCTATCCCAGCTGACTTTGGGCTGTATGCGGGGTACACCCTGAACTGGTTGCCAACCAATCGCAGGGCACACATAGACAAACATCAACAATTCACTCTCACAGTCACGCCTCAGGACAATTTAGAGGATCAATTAACCTATCGTGCATGTTTTTGGAATGCGGGAGTAAACTGGAGCACCCAGAGAAAAACCCACGCAGGGACGGGGAAAACATGAAAACTTCACATAGGAAGGCTGGAGGCCGGATTCTAACCCAGGTTCTCTGTATTGTGAGGCAAATGTGCTCACCAGTCGCCCACCGTGCCACTTAAGGTGTCCCTTGCCTAATCCCCTGAAAGTTCTGCCGGGGGTGGGAGATAAAACTCCATCGGACACGGGATTCTGCCAAACATCGCCAGCAGAAGATCAAAATGCTTTTGGGCCTGCCTGCCAAGTTGGACCGGTATCTTCCCTCACCATCTGAGCCAGCAGAGCACCAGATGGTGGTCAGTTGACAGCTCTGTCCGTCCGTCTCTTAAGACGACTATCCAAGGCATGCAGCTGCGGGTCTGATGACACAACGATGTTAACTTACAAAGCCAATTCCAATGAAGCTGGGACATAAATAAAACCAGAAAACAATTATTTGCAAATCATGTTCAACTTATATTTAATTGAATACACTCAAATGAATGAACTTTATTGTTTTTAGCAAATATCATTAACCTTGAATTTTATGGCTGCAAGATGTTCCGAAAAAGCTGGGACAGGTGGCAAATAAGAATGACAAAGTTGGGGAATGCTCATCAAACAGTTGTTTGGAACAACCCGCAGGTGAACAGGCAAACTGCGAACAAGTGGGCGCCATGATGATAAAGAGACCTTCCCTGAATTGCTCTTTCTCAAGCAAAGATGGAACCTCTTTGTGATCACCTGCGTGAGAAAATAGTCAAACAGTTTAAGGAAAATGTTCCGAAGAGGACATCATTACATGAGCTCAGGAATATTTGAAAAAAAAAAAAAGATGTTCGTAAATACAGCTCGGTGCTCGATCTGGAAGTGCAACTTAAAACTCTACTATGCTAAGCAACAACACCCAGAAATGCCGCTGGTGTCTCTGGGCCTAAGCTCATCTTTGATGGACTGCCGCAAGGTGGAAAAGTGTTCCATGGTCTGACGAGTCCACATTTCAACCTGTTTTTGGAAATTGTGGACATTGTAGAGGGGAAAAAAATATCTGGACTGTTATGGACGCAAATTCCAAAAGCCAGCCTCTGCGACGGTATCGGGCTGTGTTAGTGCCAATGGCATGGGTAACTTCAACCTCTGTGAGGGCACCATTAATGCGGAAGAGTACATACAGGTTTTGGAGAAACATGCGCCGCCATCCAAGCAACGTCTTTTTCAGGGACGGCCCTACTTAATATCAGCTAGACAATGTCAGACCACATTCTGCACGTGTTACAATAGCGTGGCTTCGTTAGTAAAACAGTGCAGGTAATTGGCCTGCCTGCAGTCCAGACCAGTCTCCCGTTGAAAATGTGTCTCACATTATGAAGTGTAAAATATGACAAGGGAGACCACGGACTGTTGAAAAGTTGAAGCTGTACATCAAGCAAAAATGGGAACGAATTCCACTGACAAAGCTTCAACACTCGGTGTCCTCAGTTCCCAAACGTTCATTGAATGTTGGAAGAAAAGGATGTTGTAATACAGTGGTTAACATGACCCTGTATCAGTTTTTATGGAGCATGTTGCAACTTTATAATTTAAAAAGTTATTTACCAAAACCAATAGTTAATTATTTTTTAACATAACCAGCACAGCTGTTGTTAATGCACTGTAGAAATACAGATGTATTGTCTTTTGTTCAATTAAATAGAAGTTGAACGTGATTTGCAAATATTATATCGTCTTTATGTTTAATATCTTTATTGGAATTGGGTTTGTATGTTTATTGGGGAATTTTAATTCTATTTTGTTTGTATGATTCAGTTGCCTTGCAATTTGATTCTTATAGAATCGGCATTGATGTGTATTGTCATCTTGTTTTGATACCAAATTAAAATATTATGGAAAACTGACATTTTCATGCTTATTATAACAAACAATTGGGTGTCTGGCCATTCATCAAGTGTCAAATAGCTTTTTATCCATCCATCCATTTTCCGATCCGCTTTATCCTCACAAGGATCGCAGGGGATGCTGGAGCCAATCCCAGCCGTCTTCGAGCAGTAGGCGGGGGACACCCTGAACCGGTTGCCAGCCCATCGCATGGCAGACAGAGACGAACAACCGTCCGCGCTCACACCTAGGGACAATTTAGAGTGTCCATCAGCCTGTCATGCATGTTTTTGGAATGTGGGAGGAAACTGGAGTACCCGGAGAAAAACAACGCAGGCCCGGGGAGAACATACAAACTCCAGACAGGGAGGCCGGAGCCGGGATCGAATCCACGACCACTGCACTGTGAGATCGATGCACTAACCACTGGCCCACCGGGCTGCCCCAAATAGCTTATTAAATTATAATAATTATTTTCATTAATTTCCATCCATCCATTATCTGCTCTGCACGAGGGTCGTGGGTGTGCAATTCAATTCATGTACAGTAATTGTTTATGGCATTTCGGTGTTTTTAGCCTGACTAGCTGATACAAAACTGATATACAGTAAATACAGCACTGCCCAACAGACGGAAAATCATTTCCTGAGCAATTTCTCTGAATTTCCCTATTTTCGACATTCTGTCAACACCTTGACCACAAGAGAGTTATTGTGGTAGATGACTCTCTCACCCCGTACATGTTGCTCCTTTATGGCTTCAATATTTGTTTTTGTATTTGTTGCCTCTACCATGCAACGGTGGATGCAGTTGCTGCCTGAATTAAGTATCGGAGGCTGTGAGACGTGTCATCCAAAGTATCTGTCTATGGATTAATCAACCTTTAACAATTCTCTCTATTGAATCGGATTGATCAGATCTCAAAAGTCAAATTGAAAGTCATCACTTTTATTTTTTAGTTTAATAAAAAAAACAAAAAAACACTGCTGACAGATTACAGATTTGTTTATGCATGGACAATAGATTCAGTTCCTATTTTGTGTAGTGTACAAATAGCTTCTCAATTTTTTTTTATTTCCGGTATCCGCTGTTGCTGGTGAAACAATGTAAATGTCCCCATTGTTGGACAAATCAAGGTCATCTTATATGATGAAAATGTAATTTCGCCCCCCCCCCCCAACCTTCCCCCATCTAATTCCTGAATCAAATTTGTACTTGCCAGCGTCTGAGAAGCGTTTTGGTGGGTCGACACAGCGCCATTGTGACACACCGGCCACCCTTAATGTGAGACACTGGATTTAAAAACAAAAAACATCTAGAACAATCAGTGTTATGGACATAATGCTTGAGCGATTCAATTTCTGTCAAAAAATACTGATGATCTGTCACATTTAGCAGCTCTGTATATCCAGCGCTGTGTCCTATAAGATAGAAACCGGGCGTCTCATATATAAAAACTGTTCATCTTGCTGCTCTTCTTCATCATCAGAGCAGGAAGTTCCTTCAATGTGCGCACCCTCGGCGTCCCAAGTTTCTGGCGGCATCACGGAAATACCTTCATGCTCCTGCAAATCAACGGTATCCACATTCCGTTGGTCCAAAATGTTTTTCTGCTCTTCCTCCACATACCTACCCCAAATTAGAGAGTGGAGATTAACATCTTGATCATCCCTTTTTTCAACCTCCCAATTTTCCACCTCAATTGAATGTAACCTCTCAGCTGTAAAACTAGCTTGGTCTGAAACTGGACCGCAGTCTGAGTTCGAGAGATCGTCAGAAAGCGAGGCTGCGTTTGTGGATGAATGTTGGGATGTAGCATCCCAAATCCACGCTTGGGGGAGAGGACTAAAAACATCCACGGATGAAAACACAGAATTCGGGTTTGGAGTGTTGTTTGGAAGTGACGCTGGCTGAGACGTGACAGGAAGCGACGGAGATGACGAGCACAATAAATCCGAGGCCAAACGCATTTTGTAACCACTTCCGTTTCCAGAAGAGCTTTCGGCATTCCAAAGATCTGATGACTGACAGTCCTTCTCTTCCCATGGGGAGTGCAGTGTTGGCATAATTAGGAGGGAAGACAGGGATGCATTGCGGGGCACAACAACCCAGACCTCTTTCGTGTGATGGATGGATGTCTAACACACAAAAAAAAAAAAGGAGGAGGAAATTAGGAAAATCGATAATCATAAAATAAAAGAACACAAACTGTGACATTCGCAAATATCCAACCATATTTCGCAACATTCAGGAGATTAACAGCTGCTAGAGCCTTGAAGAAAAATCATCTGGAAGACATGAGCAATGCATTTATCAAAGTCAACTTTGATGGTGACACTCCAAAGTCAAAGAAAATTTGCAATTCGTGTGCAACGAACGTCACAAAATGCGTTAACATCCAGTGTTGGATGAGACTGACAGTAGATTAGGAATCTACCTCCATGAGTTTATTTTACTTTTTCTTTGGCCTTTTTCTCATAGGATGGTGAAGAGAGAAAGACAACGAACTGGAAACAGTGCGTGCAACGTGCGAAAAGTGCTAGCCGACTCATGTGTGACAAACAGTAATGAGCAAAGAACAGAAAGTGCACCAGGAAGTGAGCTGCCACTAATCTTGAATAAGCAAGACATTACTGTAAATGAGATGTACACATCATTTCAAAATACTATCAAATAGGAGTGTGCACCTAATAAAATATGATTCAATACATATGTCAATACATGCATGGGATGCCATACGATTCAAGGATGTTTCGATTTTAACCCCTTTCATGCACCCTGTAACCTGATAACATTATAAGATGTTCACTGTAGTAAGCGCCGTCCGTGAAAGGGGTTAAAGTGGACCGATTTGATTCGGTGGGATTATGATTCCATTCAATGGCATTGTCATTTTACATATATGGAATGAACAGAGGGTGTAGTCAAGTCCAGCTGTCTCGAGTCCATGTCGAGTCAGAGTCCCAAAAGCTCCGTGTGTCAAGTCCAAGTCCAGATGAGATCAAGAGTAAACCTTCCGACAGAAGAATCCTATTTTCCCGATTATGCTCAACACTCTTCATAGACGTCACGGAAGCCTTTGCTTTCTTCACCATGTGTGCAGATAAACAACAAAAACAACCTCAAAAACAAAGTTGCTTTGTTAACGGTGTTTGGTCTCGGGCGTGGCACGAGGAGGAGAAGCATTTTTGTGCTTACACTGTTTTTTGAAGAGGTAGCTAATAACGCCAGATCTCAAATTTTATAACCCTGCTGTTGGCTGACATGACTGTAAGACAACGACTGCGTGCTTTGGGAATGGGTTCATCAGTTTATAAAGGCACGGCAGGGTATCGAGGAGCTCAGGCTCCTTTGTGAGCTCCAGCAATTTGGAGATTGCGATGAGGTGTGCCTTGTACTTCTTCATGTTTGTCCGTGCTTTTTTTCACAGTAGCGTAATAACAAAGCTACGCCGATGGCCGTCACAGCGGTGCTGTACCCGAACTGAAACATTTTCAACGGGGGTGGCACTGCACCATGAAACGGCGTTTCGTCGGTGAGCCGTAACAAACTCACGCCATAAATGGTGCGGTATGAAAAGATCCTCCTTGACCAACCTCAATCTCAATCCTCTTATTTGGTGTTCAGCCTTATGGAGTTACGACATGTGATGTGTGGTTCCCATCTCACCTACCGGCTAACTTACCAGAACGGATGGCACACGAATGTTTCTCAGACAGAGGAATCCGGTATAGATGAGAAGGATCACAATGACGATAGCGGCAATGGAAATAACACACAACACAGCTGAGGTCACAGAGTCTAGAAAGAGCATCAACAAAGGGTTGTGAGAGACATATTTTCTTTGTTAACATGAAAAGCAAACAATTGAGATGCTGTCCAATCTGTCATTTATTCGATTAAAGGGATGGGGAAATATTTTGAGATACCTCTCACATATACCACTGAAATGCTCTCACACGTAAACACATTAGTGAAATCATTACAGATTTTTTTCCCCCCCACTCATACAGGTCATTGAAAGACTCACACAGGCACACACAAATGAGTTAGGATTAGAGAGCCCGTTCCAGTCGTGCATTTAAGTACTGCACACGAGAGCCTTTTTACTCGTTTTGTGTGTAAGAGGATGAAACGAAAGCCCTTCCGGTTTTTTTCCAAACTCAAACATGCGCTTCTCTCCGACACCCTTTTACCGTTTGCCCAAAAGCCTCCAAGCACAGCGGAGATCATCAGAACCTTGTCAAATGCAACAGCAAGCAGACGGCTGACAACCATTTCAACATGCTGGATCTTCACTTCGCATCGGACACGGGGGCACACTGTCGCTGTCACAGAGAGTATTGTCAAATCAAAACGAGAGCCATTTACCTGAAGTATAAATCCCCGGGGTAACGGCGCAATGTTGCTGGCTGTAGTTGGACTCCCTTGGGACGAGTCTGTCGGAGATTCGAATGGAGATGCAATAGCGCCTGCCGGGAGCCAGGTTCTTCAGAACAGTTCCATTCAGAGATTTGGTTTTCTGAAAAAACTGCACCCACCAGCACAGACCACACACAGACATTAGTGCAAGAAAAATAAAGGCTTTCGCCCACCCTTAATAGTAATTAATTAGCAAGTGAGGGGACAGCATGGTGGTTTGTAAGGTCATAAGAATATTTAGAGAGTGGCCCCATATTTAGCGAATCAACTAATTCACGTGTGTGTCTCCCACCACCCCCACCCCCGACACATGCAAGTGAAAGAAGTAAATGAAAAAGTGAACACCACGTTTTCTCAACATTTCAAGTATATTAGTCATCAACATTACCGGAGCTCTGCTTGGACCACTGCTCTCGATCCTGAATTGGTAACTGAGTGAGTTGTAGAACTCCCACAGATGCCGCATTGGAGGCAGAAGGTCCACACACAGATTTTTTCCACAAGGAGTCACAGCCACCACTGGCAGGTCCAGGTGAGCTAAATCACACAAGTTAAAGAGAAAGTCAAGCCTGATTAACCCTTTCAGGGACAGCGGTTACTGCAATGGACATCTTACAGTGTTATCAGGTTACAGGGTGCATGAAAGGGTTCAACAATACAATGACTTTCAGCATGAACACTGTTGTGAAAAAGGGATTTGCTCCCTTCCTAATTTCAGATTGATGTCACACTTGAATGTTTCAGATCTTCATGCCACTTTTGATATCTCACAAAGAAAACATAAGTAAGTACAAATGCTGTTTGTACATTATTTTATTGATTAAGGGGATAAAAAAATCCAAACCGACCTGCCCCTATTTAGAAAAAAAAAAAGTGATTCCATGCCCCTTGTAAAAACATGAGTTAACTTTGACTAACCACAATATTTGGAAAGTGGAGTTCAGTTTTGCTGGCCACACCCAGCCCTGACTATTATCAGATTTGTTGAATCAAGAAATTACAAAAATAATGCCAAAGTAGGGTACAAGATTGATAAAAGAAACACACAATTCCACAATCAAAAGAAATTCAGGAACAAATGAGAGCAGTTGGTGGAACCTGTTGGTATAAATGTAATTCTGTTATCCCATATTTACTCTCTGTGTAACTTTAAAACCTGTTTCAGAGTGATACTTCGCAAATACCTCATAGACAATGGGGTAGGTTGATAATGGTAGACTTGTCGGACCGGGAGAGCTCAGGCTGCTCCTGTTCTAGCTTTTAAGACAATATCTTGTTGTTAAGTGAACAGCTTCTGGTCAACTTAACTGTTGCTTGTGAGAAGATAACATCAACCCCACGACACCATGTGAGGGACATCCCAAGCTGTGTACGTGGACCACTGACATCCAGCAGGAGCCGTTTGACGCCATCTCAGGAATGAACTGTGTGTTCTCATTGAAACTCTCCTTTACTGAAACTGTTGTGGAATGTGAAAATACTCCCGACACCCGTTACAAGATCGTGTATCAGGGACATCCTTCCAATAAATGCAAGGAGACAAACGCGGTCTCTTCAGAGTTGCCCCGGAACCTGTAACGGTTTACATTGCAGAGCCAGCTGGAGAGCTGCTCTGAGATTGTGAACCGAGACATGTTTTAGCGTGCTTTCTCTTGCAAGAAAGACAACCATGCCTGCCTCCTGAGTCTTCCTGTTCCTGATGTGTTCTTAGCATCAGATTACCAGCATTAACCTAACAGAACCTTTGTTTTCATATGCCACAGTTTTTGGAAGATTCGGTTTCCAATGTTTATTTTTGCCAAAGTTTTGGACCAACATTCAGACACTCCCTCGGTTTCCAGTTCGAAAAATGTCTAGCTGTCTGCTCATGTGACTCGGCCACTCATTTCCTGGAACTGAGCAGCCATTCACATCTGCAACTGTATTGAGTTTTTTTTTTTTTTTTTCTTGATAAGGCTTGTAGTCACATCCAATTTTCTAGGCGTTTGTGCCCTGTCTCAGTGTTTCCTCTGTGTGTACTTCTGTTCACTTCAGATTTTAGTCAAGCCGTTGCTGTGGTTAGGTGTCGGAGTGAATCTCTCGCTTGCTGGCTGCGGGAGACTTGTATTGCAATATATTGTCCAATTTTCAACTAATTTAAATTTAAATTACAAATTCACAAACTTTCAAATATTTTTAAATTTGCGATTGGATCCAAAAGAACTCGACACATTTAACAGATTTGGGAGACAAAGAATTGCAAAACTTAAGACAATCTCAGACAGTTTTGATTTCTACGAAACAGGGGTTAATGTAATTTAACATAAAATATATTTTACCCCACCGAGGCTCCGTAATGTTCATGGGGATATTTCAGCAATGTGCCAGAGATGTAATGTTGCAGAAGGTGACAAGTTACATATGCTATGGAAATGTTCGTATTTGAGAGACTTTTGGGATTTTATATGATCCACAGATAAATCTTGATAAAAAATAGATGAACACATACGAAAGTTAATTGTCGTATTTTCTGTACTAGAAGATGCTTCGGAGTATAAGGAGCACATTCAATGAATGGCCTATTTCAAAGCTGTTTTTATATATATGGCACACCACATTATAAAGCGCATAGAAGCAACAATAGTGGCTGCAGTTGCGTTCTACATCCACGAGATAGAGCTACGCTAACGGAATGCATTACAGCTCAATCAATAGAGCTTTATTTATATAGCGCCTCCACAACCGTTGCACCTGTAACAAAGCGCTTTACAGAACATTTAAAATACTATGTCCAAGAAATCAGAATATTGATCCATATGTAGCTCCCACAGGATGCCGCATGAAGCACGAAATCCATAAAAAAACAGGGTTTATTCCTTGGCAACCCGTGAGAACTGGCCACAAACATGGACAGGAAACATAAAATTACAAATGGCATTACAAAACAATAAATGAAAGACAAAAAAAAAGTTATGAAGACAACTGAGTCAACAAAAAAGGCACAATAACCTCATGGACTCACATTCACAAGGGGCTAAATATATATATATAATACAATAATAAATGTCTTTTCTCCTTCTTCCTTTGTTTAGTCAGTAGTTAACTATGCTTTGTTTCATAATGGCTGCACAGAGCTCACAAAGTAGTTGTCTGAGTGTGTGTTGACGAATGCACATGTCAATTAGTGTCGGGCAGAACCCTTTTACGTTACAATTGGTTGCTGCTAATAATCACCACGAGATGGCATAGGAACACTAATGGGGAAACAACTCAATGGGGGGGAAAAAAGAGACAGTAACACCACATCGGATTATAAGGCGCACTGTCAGCTTTTGACGAAATTGAATGCTTAGAGGTATGCTTTATAGTGCAGAAAATAAGGTAAATGCAAAATTAAATGAAGTGTCACTAACTGTCTTTGATGGGCTGGAATCCAGGGTGGGTAGCTGGTCGAGAGACCTCAGCTCGCCACTTGGCTGTAACCTGGGTTATGTAGACCTGCCTTGGATCGGAGAAGGCCCCTGTCATGTTGCAAACCAGTGGGTACTGGACATGCTGACAGCCAGTCACTGGGACCCAGGCAGTTCCCCTACATGATGCAAAAACAGGAATGCATCTTGAGCAATGTGAGACATCAACATGCAACAATGCACACTAAAAAGCTCCTTTAATGGACCCCAAAATAGAGCATTACTTGCATCCCTACATTTTCCGCTTGAGCCCATCACATTCAGGTCAGGGGCCACTGTGCTCCGAGTAAGAAAAAGTTAGTCTGAAGCCCTGGTTGCTCGCTCCCTGTAATTATCAGTTTCAGAGTTTTGTCTGCATTGTCAGCAGTAAATCAGATTTATTTCCAGAGAGTGCTGGATGCTACCAAGGCTGATCTTTGTCACCAACTCTTTTCATAACCTTTATGGATGTAATTTTAATGTGCAGTCCTGCCCTCACTCATGAACAAGACCCCAAGATACTTAAACTCCTGCACTTGGGGCAAGATCTCCTCCCCTACCCGGAGAGGGCACTCCATCCTTTTCTGACTGAGGACCATTGTTTCAGATTTGGAGATGCTGAGTTTCCCTATCCCAACCGCTTCACACTCGGCTGCGAAACGCTTCAGTGAGAGTTGGAGAGCCGTGCTTGAAGGAGCCAACATTACCAAATTATCTGCAAAAAGCAGAGATGTAAAACTGAGGCCACCAAACCGGACCCCCTCAACGCCTCGGCTGCGCCTAGAAATGCTGTCCATAAAGGTTATGAACAGAATCGGTGACAAAGGGCAGCCTTGGCGGAGTCCAACCCTCACTGGAAACAATTTTTAACATTGCATGGTAAACTGCTATGATGGCAAAAGTTTTGGCTCTACAACTAACAATTCCAAACGTTTGACTGGTTACGGTAGTACTTGAAGATGCCAAAATATTCACAAGAATTGTCTCCCTTTGAATAAAGCTGGGATGTATGTCACTGAACTAAAAGAATTCATAAAAATCAACAATGAAGAAACTCACACATCTGTATTGATACCGATTTGGTAGTAAATATCCGCAGGTGTGCCTGGTCCAGGTGCCCATGTTAGCATATGAATGAAATTAATGGAGATGATTTCCACGTTGACTGGTTGGGGAAGTTCACTGAAAGCTGAAAAAAAAAAAAAACACAAACAGTTTTGTAATCCATTGCATGTGTTCCTGATTTCTTTTCAAGTGAAATGCCAATGACTGCACAGCTACTTGTTTCAACTCTGCTGCTTTGTCAATCAGCAAATGAAAAAAAATATTTCATTGATGCATTAATCCATGGTAACTATGTGTGGCAAACGTTTGAGTCAAAATCAGGAATAATCCAGTGATTTTGTTTGTTACAGTTGCCAATACAGCTAAATTGGACGGTCTCTATACGTAACATATCGAAATTATTTCACCGTTAATAATAGGATCTTAATCTATTCTTTAATTATACAAATTTAGCATTGAAAATGTAACGTGGAATTAAATCAATTCTCAATTGTAATACTGTGGACAATCGAGTGAGCAGTCATTTAATAGTTTCAGGTTCCTTCGTTATGGTTATTTTGAATTTTAATCAATGTGAACCTCTTCGTGCGCAACGATATCATTGCCACACTGCTGCATCGCTCGGCTAAATATATTGAGTGCGTGTTATAACGTGTGTCAGAGAAGAATTAAACTATTTTAAATGTGACACTCATAACAATGCGCAGTACACACCTGAGAGAATCCGGGGAAGTGACGTCAGCGTCCAAATGACAATTATCATCTCAGCACGCTGTTTCCTGGTCGCCTTTCTGGTTCTTGGTTTACCCCTCTCTAGACTCTTTCACTTTCTGAATGAATCTGTCCGGACAATTTTGAGGGTGTCTTGTTGAGGTAAACCACATTATGTCATGTAAATCAACAGGCTTACTTTCGACTGCTTTGGATGAAAACAACCCATTACCCACCTCAACAAGAAACACAATAACAAAAATGACTTACAACTGTTATTATAGGACTCGTTAGACATAAGCTAACACGAAATAATTAAACAAGCTTACGTTGAGTGAAATGAAATAATAGATATGGCAGCTACCTTCAGGGGAAAACGTTCCACATGCTGTATCATTTTGCCCGGGACCTTCACACCTAAGATTGAAGTAGTCGTACAATCGCTGCATTTACAGACCTACTGTACAAGGAAAATTTGCATACAATTTATCAAACAAGATGCAGTATACACTTTACAGATGATGCCAAAATTATAGAGAGTTATGTGTGTGTGGGGCGGGGGGATTATTAAATGAATTGTAAAGGAATACACATTAACGGCGATAACTACATTGTACTGGGATTGAGGAATTTTTAAGAAGTCCGATTGCTCGGTTGTTTCATGAAGGCACCGGATAGGAAATCACATGATAGCGTTTGTGTTGTAACAAAGAGACAACATGCATCTTTGAGCACGTTGGCCAGTTGCTGCAATACGCTAGCGTGTCCGCCATATTGGATGTGCCATATCTTCCAATGAAGTAACGGACTGGACTTCCTCAAAAGCCTTTTAGCAAACTGCTTTAAGTTAATGCCGCTCATTAAACCATTCCCAAATATTTTGAAAGAGATAGGCACCATCGCAGAATCTGACAACGTATGTGACTTGTACTCTGACGATTATGTTTTATGAATCTTCACTCCTCATACAGTACTAGTCAAAAGTTTCGAAACACCTTCAATTCAACATTTTCTCCCCCATCCATCTATCCATCAAATGTTCTAAGCTGCTTACCCCCACAAGGGTCACGGGCATACTGGAGCTTATCCCAGCTGTGTTCAGGCAGTAGGCAGGGTACACCCTCAAGTGTCAGTGAACCGATCAAAGCACCATATTTCATTTAATTAGCTTTTTATTGTATCACGACATGCAGGTCTGTGAGAACAGTTGCATTATTATTATTATTATTATTATTATTAGTAGTAGTAGTAGTAGTAGTAGTAGTAGTAGTAGTAGTAGTATTTATTTATTTATTATTTTTGGGGGGCAAGTTCAGCCACAAACTGTCCATGTACATGTACACTCTGTTGATGTCAAGTCATCTGAGTCTGTTGGCATGTCTGTGTGTAGCAAACTTTGCTTTGTGGCTTGCTCGTTACTGTGGCATGTACAGAAAGTCAGTCAACACATTTTTCGGATTTGGTCACATCATATTCCATAAACAGGATTGAAGGTGTGATGCTGAGGAGCGGCCTAGTGGGCAAGCGGTTAGCGCGTCGACCTCACAGTGCAGAGGTACCGGGTACAATTCCAACTCCGGCCTCCCTGTGTGGAGTTTGCATGTTCCGAAAACATGCATGGCAGGCTGATTCAACACTCAAAATTGTCCGTAGGTGTGAGTGTGAGCGTGGATGGTTTTCTGGGTGTGCCCTGCGATTGGCCGGCAAACAGTTCAGGGTGTCCCCCGCCTACTGCCCGGAGCTGGGATAGGCTCCAGCACCCCACACCACCCTTGTGAGGATATGCGGATCAGAAAATGGATGGATGGATGGTGTGATGCTGAATGTTGTCTGTAGTTGCCCGATGGCCACAGGTGGGACCTGAGTTTGAGAATAAGGAAAAATTCTATAGGGGATAAAATGGTGATTAGTGCAGACCTCAATGGACATAGAGTGGTGACTGGAACAGAGGTCATGGCCATGTTTGGGGTTAAAAATTTTAATTTGGAAGGACCTATGTTGGAGGATTTTGTGAAGAGAAAGAACTGTCTGATCAATAAAAGAGAGAAACAAGAAGACACGCAAGAGTGGAGTGCAGGTGTACACATGGCCTACATTTTAGTGCAGGGCTCACTAACAAGCACCAGGTAGCCCTCAAGGGCCACATAAGTAGCCCATAGGCTTGTTCTAAAATTGACTAACGAGTGATCGGTCATTGTGAGTTTCTGGGAATGTTGTAGAAATGATCATTTGAAAATGGCAAAGATTTAGAGAAATAGAGTGTTGCACATTGACATTCGTCTGTTTCCCAACTACTGTGAGAAGTCAAGAACATGATCACATAAATTATGAATGAGTAATTCAGTAACATTGTTTAAGGTATTTTGAGCAAATTTGTTATTTCACAAGTGTATAAAGAACTGGTAGCCCTTCACATTAATCAGGACTCGGTTGTGAGGTGTTAGATGGATCCTTCGGACAGACAAATGAAGATGAAGTACTTTGTAGAACAAAAGGATCCAGGAAAGCGTACATAAGCACAGGCTGAAGGGGGAGATGGATTGAGCTGGAAAGAATTTGCAGCAGACAGATAGAAATCAGTGAAGGGAATTTCCGCTCTTTTAATAGTGCCGTTTTTTTTCTTTCAACTTGACCCCCTAAAAAGCCCTTTCTCTTTCAGTGGCTGTGGGGGGTGAGTCTTGAAACATGGTCCCCCCAGTGCCAAATGTTGAAATGAACCACTTGGCCACAGATGCCCTGCCCCTTTTATCTGATATAGTTTCCTCATAGACTTCACGTGCATGTTTTTTAAGTGGTAAGTGCCCCTCAACCCCCCTGCCTGTCAAAAAAACACCCTTCACTCCTCCAATGACTTTAACCTCCACATACAGCCCCTAAAACATCCAGTCTTTGTAGTACCAACTGACCTCTCTGCAGCACTCCTTAACCTCTGATACTAGAATCACACCAGGACCTGGCATTTAAAATGAACAAGAAACTGAAGCAACAAGAGTGACGATTATTATAATTATTTTTTATCATTAATGTATGTAACACTGTTGCAGAAGCATATTATCGTCCCATATATCCCAAGAATTGTTCTTTCCCCAACTTATCTTGTGTTTCAAGATCATCACATCTATACTCATAGCCGGTCTCACCAAAACACGTACACTCTGTTGATGTCAAGTCATCTGAGTCTGTTGGCATGTCTGTGTGTAGCAAACTTTGCTTTGTGGCTGCGAACATTAAAGGTTCCAATTCAGACAGCCTCAAAGAATCAGCATGTGAGTCTTCACTATTTAGTTGTCCTTTCTCGTGGATGGCTATGGCAGTCAGGGTCACTGATGATAGGTTGACATTTTCAGACATGTTGACAGTCTTTTCATCCATTTCCTCTCCCAACTCAAATATGAGTTGCTCCTTGACTTCCATTTCTGGCCACCGAGACAAAAAAGTGTCATTTTCAACTCCAGTCTTGAGTTGATCGAGCTCCGCTGGAACAGTCTCAGATGATATATCAGATGTATCTGCTTCAGCGCGTGACTTTGCAGTCAAACTTGTCCTTAATACATTACAAGAGTCATGACAGGAACTTTCCCTTGATAAATTTTCACCATCTCTGTTAATATAGAAATTACTTCCTTCATTTTCTTCCTCTTCTTCACCAACCTCCTCATCTTTCATCCCTGAACAGGTGATTCTGGGGGTAGGACATAATGATGTGGTGATAGTGTACTTCTGCTTGGATGTATCCGAGCAAACTGAGATCAGATCAGGGCTAGTTTCCTCTACTGGCAGAGATTTGGCATGCATGAGGGCCATCTACAGTGAGGGGAAAAAAGATAAATAGCAATTAGTACTTTTTGTGACCAAAAGGTACTACTCGGGTCAGCCCAAGCTGTAGCATGACTGTCTCGCGGACCTTGGACACAAACCAGAGTATTATACCATCATATAAGAACAAAAAATAATAAACTAAGAGAAGATGTGAGGATTATGTGCAGTACCCTTTAGCCATATTATACTTACTAGAGGTGGCCAAGTCATTCAGCAGCAAAATGTGTATGGAATTGAATGAGAAAGTACGACAAAAACAATGTCATTATTTTTAAAGTTTTTAAGTGTATTTATTCATATGTTTTTATCCATTGATCCATCCATCAATCCAACATTTTCTTCCCCTTATCTGGGATCGGATCGCAGGGGCGGCAGGTTGAGCAGGAAAGCCCATACTTACACATCCCCAGTCACTTTGTCCAGCACTTCCAGGGGAAGTTGTTCCCATGCCAATGGAGAGAGACAGTCTCTCTTTCGTGCCCTGGGTTGTCCCTGGGGCTTCTTCCCCATGCCCAGAAAACCTCATCAGGGAGGTGTCAAGTAGGCATCCTCACCAGATTCCCAAACCACCTGATTTGGCTCCTCTCGATGCGGAGGAGCTGAGGCCATACTCTGAGACACTCCCGGATGACGAACTTGTAACCCTATGTCAAAGGGAGAGCTTGGACACCTCGCGGAGGAAACTCATTTAGTCCATTTGTATCCGGGATCATCATCTTCTTTCGATCATGACTCACAGCTCTTGACCAAAGGTGAGGGAAGCAACGTCGCTCGATCAGTAAACCAGTAAAAAAAATTAAATAAATTCAGCTCAGCTCCCTCTTCACCATGTCAGAATTGTACAGACCTGTAGAAAACACTCCACCCTTTTCCGACTGAGAACCATAGTCTCTGATTTACAGGCACAACCAAAAATCTAATTGAATCATTGAGCTGTGGCCAAGGGTGTCATGTTGCCAAGGGCACATTTGGACACCCATAAGTTCGCAAATGCTGCCCATTATTGACAATCCATGATTAGCACATGCGAACCCCATTCGGGTTCTGATCAAGTGGCCCGTTCCTCTGGGTCACGCCACCTGAGATCTCACTGTCATTATCCATGTGAACAATTAAGTACCCCTGCAGAACAAGGGAGTCCCCAGCGGGACCACTCCCCAGCACCACCTCCAAGGTTTCCAAAAAGGGTGGGGGCTCTGAGCTGCTATTTGGTGAAATAACAGATTGCAAAGGCATGAACAATCCCCCACCCAAAGAAGGAAAGAGGTTACCCTCTCGTTCACTGGGGTAAATCCCAACGTACAGGCACCAAGACGTGAGGCAGAACGCCCACACCTACTTGGCACCTCTCACAGTGGGCAGCTCCAGAGTGAAATTGAGTTCAACCTCTCTAAAGAGACTTGGTACCAGCGCCCAAGTTTATGGTGAAGCAAGCCCGACAAGTCTAGTCAGAACCTCACACACCACTTCAGGCTCTTTCGACATCACATTCCACATCTGTAAAGCAAGCTTTAGTAGCCAGGAATGGATGGGGAAAGGTCCCAGAATTTGGCCACCGCCAAGCTCTCGAAGCGTCCGAACCACTTGGGCCACTCCCATAGGTATTGAGCCTATGGGAAGGGAGACCCACATTGCTTCTTCAGGCAAATTTCCGCAGTGTGGGACAAATAAAGGTTATCTTATCTGATAAATATGTGCCAATACTACTTTGGAAAAATTTGTTTGTACTCCTGACAGCTTTTTGGGTATAATATACTTGACAGTTGTGAACAGCTTTGATTCCGAATACGATATAAAATTAGTTGTTTTATTTTTATGCTTCAAAAAACATATATTGTATAACACACTTTTTATACTTACAATTAGTGCTCTTGGGAGGGATGCTTGAAGTTTACAAAGGAATCCAGTGTAATACAGACAACATGTCAATGTCATCAAGGCACCAGTGAAACATATCAGAAGACCAAGAGTTATGCCAAGAACAGGTACTGTGGAGATACACACACACACACACACACACACACACACACACACACACACACACACGCTTTTTACACATATTGAGTTTTTGTTTTTAGTATTTAATATTGTACGACCTCCATGGGGCATGCCTGGAAGCTCCACTGTGTCAGCAAAAGTCACAACAATTTACAAACTGATTGCGTTTATTGTTCACCTTACCTCTGTCTAACTCTGCAATCGATGTGGTGGTGCATACCCAGGTTGATGGCTCAGTATTTTTATTCATGGTAATCTCAGTTTGAATCTGGACACAGTACTGTTTGCCTTTCTCCAAATTGTTAATTTTAACACTCCTGGCTTCGGTTTTGTAAACCTCCTGCAAAGAAAACAGAGAATTTCAATAAGTGAATGTACAAATGAAATGTATTTAGCCCTTATCTGGTGTATAATTATTTCTACATTCATTTTTTGTATGCATGGACATTGAGAACGTTTCCCTATTCCATTACCTAGTCTACCAAGTTAAATTAGGTTTTTATTGCAAATATCCATAATACTTTCCTTTATTTCTCGGTACATTATTCAGGAATCACAAAGGCAAATGTCCTGCATATATACAGGTGGAGGGTACAACTGTGCTCAAACAGGGTTTCTCCAGTCCCCGCCGCCAAAGTTAAATTTAAAAAACAACATTCTTGAAAGAGGTGCTGTTCAAGCATTTTTATAAACAGCAGTAGTGCAACTACTGTATGCGGTAATCAAATCAGGACACATCCCTTGACCTTTTAACAATCTTAGGGAATATGAAAAAGGCATATGCAGTATGGTCTTTTGTTGCTGATTATTGTTATTAATCTGAATAGTACCGGTAACTAAATCAAAAAAGCATTTGCAAATTGCAGCCAAGATGCATTTTTTTTTTATTCATTTGACTTCTGTAATAATAACAATAATAATAATAAAGATGGATCTCTTACCTCAATTTTATTAGATCTCTTCCACAAGACCCTGAACTTAGCTTTGTAGATGGCCATGATGTCATTGTTTGGTATCCCTGAGCTTTTGTCAGCCTCTGGCAGGGACATGTTGATTTGAATGCAGTTGCCACATTCGGTCACCGTTACTTCTGGAGGACCTATTATAGCTAGGAACAATAAGAGAACATACAGTTACTTGTACTGTATAATAGATTGCTTTTGCTCCTCTTTGAGATACAATAAACCCCTGATTGTGGACTTAACCAGGTCGAGGTGTGGGGACAGGATATTAAGCAGGAAAGTCAGACGTCAACATGAAAATCAGCCCCTTTTTCAGACTGAAACCATGGTCCTTAGCCTGAAAAGGGTGGAGTGCGCTTTCCAGGTCGGAAATGAGATCCTGCCTCAAGTGGAGGAGTACAAGCATCTTGGGGTCTTTTTCACAACAGCGTCTGCAATGATGCGGCCTCTTATTGGGGCTGTAATGGTTAAGAAGGAGCTGAGCTAAAAGGCAAAGCTCTCCATTTATTCATTGATCATCGCTCCTACCCTCATCTACAGTCGTAAGCTGTGGGTCATGATCAAAAGAACAAGATCCTGGATATATGTGGCTGAAATGAGTTTCCTCAGTCAGGGATCGGGGTCTGCTTTTGAGATCGAGTGAGAAGCTCAGTCATCCGGGAGGGACACAGAGTCCAGCTGCTATTCCTCTGCATCGGTGGCTCGGGAATCTGGGTAAGATGCCTCCGGGAAGCCTCTGAGGTGATGTGTTCCAGGCTGTCTTACGACTGGCCTGGGAATGTCTTGGGAGTCCCCTGACAGAGTTGGACCAAGGGTCTGGGCTTCCCAACTCCGGATAAGTGGAGAAAATGGATGGATGGATGGACAGATGAATAGTGACGAATAAGTATTTTAACATGATGCCTAATTCTTTTTATCTAGAAACATCGAGTACATGTGGTTGAAACAAAAAGATTACATGCAGAAATGTTCACAATGACATACTTTGTTCAAATGGAGAGAAGGAGACTTCTTCAGACTCCGGAGACCAGGTTCCATTGTAGAATGCTTGGACAGTAAAATAATATTTATATTTGTCCAAATTCAGCTGTAAAGATGTTGCGGTTGTCGTGTTATCATTCTGTGTTTTTTTCTCCTTTTCTCCGCTTAACCTGCACAAAAACATTTTCAATGTTTTAATTCATGCTTTATGAGTAAATAAATTAATAACTGCCGTATTTTACGCACTATAAGGCACACTGAAAAGCATTCAATTTTCTCAAAAGCCGACAGTGCACCTTATAATCCGATGCGCTTTATATATGGATCAATATTCAGATTTCTTGGATGTCGTCTTCTAAATATTCTGTAAAGCTGTTTGTTACAGCTGCAGCGGTTGTGAAAGCGCCGTCTGAATAAAGCTGTAATGTATTGTATTCCCTTTAGCGTAGCACCATCTAGTGGATGCTTAATGCAACCTCAGCCACTATTGTAACTTGTATTCTACGCGCCTTATAATGCGGTGTGCCCTATACATGAAAACAGCTTTAAAATAGGCCATTCGTTGACAGTGCACCTGATACTCCGAAGCGCCTTATAGTGCAGAAAATACGGTGCATTGTGGAAAAAAAGTAACAATGACAAGTCATGTGAAGACATGGATTGACCTACAAAGTAATTTTCCATTAAATTTTAAATCATGGGTGTCATGGAAGAATGTCATTTTTAGTTGGAATAAAGACTGATAAAATGTTACAACTTCCAAATAGCTAAAGATTCAAAGGCTTTGCTCCTGAGACAGGTCAAATGCTCTCAATGAATAATCAAGTTCAGAGAGCTTTCCCCTAAGCATGTTGCTGTCAACTTTTGCCCAGGTGATAATACAAGATGGAGCAAATAAGGCAACCATGCCAGTATTAATCTCCTTGGGGGACAAAGTACTTTTTTTTTCTCCTTTGCATATATTTGCTAAAAGCACTGTGCCAAATTTGATCCATTTTCAGAACTTATTCTGATGGTGGGTTCATACCTGATGCAAAGCCAAGTATTGCCTCTATTCAGGTGTTCATCAGTTCATTAATGAGAAACAAACTATTTTATCAAGACAAAAGCCCTCAAATAATTTTTTTGTGGTTTGGTAACTTCTCCTGTATTTGGCAAGAAAAGAAATGTAATTAAGTAGTGATTACATTTAAATGGACTGAAAACGTTGAATCAAAATCACACTCCAATAAGTCATTTCAGTACAAATGTCATGCCATGAGGTCAAGTTTAAAAAAAAAAAAAAAAATAAATAAATTGTCTGAGCCAGCTCCTTTCCGAAGTCGCAGTTCAGTTCTCTCTCTGGTATCAAGTGTGATAGGACCATTTCACTTCCCCTCCTTGCAAGTGTGACAGGACCATTTCACTTCCCCTCCTTGCCATCACTTGTTCCCACTCTCCCAAAATGTCACAAAAACTATGGAAATATAGAAACAGTGGAAGTTAAATCTACACTGAAGTCTCACAAAATTACTGACGTTTAGCGTTGCGTCAAAAAACAGATCAGAGAAATAAACGCAACAGGCGGTTAACATTCAATAATACATGGTGGAGTCGACATGTGGAAACATTAGTCATAGCGAGGGTCAGAATGCACGACAGGATGAGTCTGCGAGGTGAGGCGATATAAATCCCTTTCCAATTAAGAGCATATTGACGCAAAGCCGACATGTGCTGTATGTGACTGTAACATTATTTTTTTATTAGTCTTTCCATATCATCTCAAAAACACACAAGCCAGTGGCTTTGACAAGGAGTGACTAAATCAATTTTCCTGGCTCAGGCATACCGAGGAAGGCATGCACTGTCATTTATGCCAAAAGCACTGTGCCCCAACAGAGCAGGCAATTGCTGCTTCCCTTTTGAGACAGCCATCAATCAACGAGAGGCTGGACACATGAGGTGATGGCCATTCACAAAGGAGCAGAAAAGAAAAAGTATATTAAAAATGGTAGTACCTAAAAACACTCAATAAATAAAGTTAAAAACTAAAATACTGTAATATAGCTAGGAAAAACGCTGGAATGGGTAATAGAGATAACGATTAAAAAAAAAAGATAGACCATTCAAACAAAAACTTGTAACATCAAATGCTTCCTTGCAATACAAACAAAGAGGGTATCGGAAATGTTTAAATGAGTTTCATACTCTTCTTACAGCTTCCACTTTATTGAAAGCCTTTTAGTTGTTTTGGGGTTGTGATAAAATATGATGAATGGGGAATTTACCTTGAAAAGACCTTATACTGGACACCTGGGGGGGTGGCAGGCCCAGGATTCCAATGCAGGATGTGAAGGAAGTTAACGGAGTTAACAGACACGTTCGATGGCGCGGGGAGTATACCAAGCACTGTGCAAAATATAATGATGGCAACGTTACTGCTGCAGATCAAGTTACAGAAACACACATTTAAAAAAAAAAGAGAAAAAAAAACGATTTTGATTGGTATGTTGTCAATCTGAAGGTTTCAAGTTATTAAAATCTCAGAAAAAAGATATATTTTACCCACCAGACTCAAGCAGGAACATCACATTTAGAGAACAACACATCCAGTTCATCTTGGTGTATGCTTAGGCTGTCGTAGTCATTCTTTAAGGAATGCACTTTAAAAAAAAGATGTAAAGCACATTCAGTATGACACAGTCCTGAAATAATTTTTCCTTACACTTAAGCGATCACAATAACGTGTGATATAGTTATTAATTATGTGTATATCACAATAATGTATGCCATCATTATCAATTAAGTATGTGTACATCTGCAGCTGAATAAGTAAGGACCCCAATTACTTTGCATTGAGACGTTGGACAGAAATTTGTGCGTTTTCAATGATTTTAAAAAGTCACAACTTTGTTAATATTTGTCGGGAAAATGCTACTTATATGTCTGGAATCGTCTTGAGATCTGTCTGTTAATGCTGGTATCGTGCAAATTAACGAATCAATGAAATTTTACACACATACCTATATTGTGTACTGCAAAGACAATTCCAAACTAGCTACTAAATGCTGGAATATTGATGTGGTAACAATGTTCGCTCACCTTATTTACTAACAACCACCATCTCGTTCCGTCGTTACGACTGTAAAACAGTATTACTTTTAGCGGTTCAATAATTGCATAATCTCACTCCAGAGCTAAATGGGGATCAAAAAGTCAACACCATAATGTCCACACTTAACTGTCTGACCAAAATACAAGCTTGTAGCGGCGGTTTCCGAGAAACAAACTTGCTAGCTCCTGTCACGGATTCACTCAGTAAAACACCCTCCCGTCTTAACCTAGCCGACCACTTCCTTTTACGTTTCAAAGTAAAATCTTACGGGACGCAACATACACTTATTTCACTGCAATGCTTCTAACTGTGTATTGATCAGCAATCGGTGCCACGGTTCAAATTGTGACATCGTACAAATACTAATATAAGATTCCTTTCTCATTCATTCATTTTCCGTACCGCTTTATCCTCAGTTGGGTGTGCTGGAGCCTATTCCAGTTGTGTTTAAAAACAAACAAACAAAAAACACCACAAGGACAGCTTAAATGTATTTTTTTCTGTCCTAAATGAATACTAACATCGCTCTCTCTCTTTCTCTCTCTCTCTCTCTCTCTCTCTCTCTCTCTCTCTCTCTCTCTCTCTCTCTCTCTCTCTCTCTCTCTCTCTCTCTCTTTCTCTCTCTTTCTCTCTCCCTCGCCCCCCCTTCTCTCTCTCTACTTTCGTTTACCGGTTTGGTGGTTAGAGGGTACTTTCCAAACGTCATGCTCTGGTTTCCATGTTCAGTCCGACTTCTAAAGTTGTCTCATTTCAGTAGCCACAAGAGGCCGTGCCATTGACAGAAATGTGAAATCTCAATTCTGTAAACATTCCATTGTCCTCAAATGCAACCCAACTCGGTTTAGTTGTACTATCTTCTTTTAGAGCGTATAAAACCAGTTAAGTTTAAGTATTAATAATCTAATGTAACGTTTCCTCCCACATTCCAAGTCGTGCTTGGCAGGTTAATGGAACAGTCTAAATTGTCCTGAAATTGTGAGCGTGGATGGTTGTTGTCTTTATGCGCCCTACGATTGGCTGTACCTCGTCTACTGCCCAAAGACAGCTGGGAGAGGCTACAGCACGGCCGCGACCTTTGTGAGGATAAATAGATTAGAAAATAGATGGTAATCAATTGAGTTCGGGGTCAGCAACTTAATTATTCAAAAGACCATAATGAGGACTCGTTTCCAACAAAAAACAAGCGGAAACTACAAAAACCCACTGACATTGAAAAGTAAGCTTTCTCGTGCATAAGATACGTCGTGTTTTTGTTTTTACAAACTCTTCAACCTGCTGCACTCTGGTAGACGCTAGGGGGTTCACAAGACACGGACACAGTTTCTTTCCCAGAGCCATCATTGCTCTCAACAAGGTATAACAACACTACCTCCAACAAAATGTGCAATACAGTACCTGAAACCTGTTAACAACATGTGCAATATCTGTAACCTGCTAACATGTGCAATCATATCTGTAAACATCACTAAGCGACCTTACATATTTTATTATTTTATTTTTTTATGTTTTGATTGCTTTTTAAAAAAAAATATTTGCAATTTTCAGTGTTCAATAAAGTGTTAAAAAAAAGCATATCATCCATATCGAAGTGTTTATCAATGTCTGTAATTGCATTTCCTCTTTCACTCAGCAGATGTCGCTGCTGCATTTCGTCAACTGCTGCTGTTTGTCACTCCACAAACGGCTTGTTTTTGTTCGGATGTATTTATAAATGGCTTGTTTTCGTTATTGCTCACTACACACTGTGGGTCATTCCAGAATACGAGGACATTTGGGCTTCAAAATTCTTGAAAAATAAGTATTCACTGTTCTGATTTTCTACTACATATTAATCAATAATAATAATAATCTGCCAATGGCTGGGAACCAGTTGAAGGTGTATCCCGTGTACTGCACGCCTGACACTTATGGCTTAGAAAATGGATGGATAAAAAAATATATAATAATGATAATAATAATAGTAATAATAATAATAATGTATTATTACTTTACTCTATTGATCATGTATAAAATTTCTCAGGGCCTAAAGACATTAAGATCGAGTTCACTTTATCAATGGGACTACGGTAATCCCTCGTTTATCGCGGTTAATGGGGACCAAAACCACCCGCGATAAACAAAATACAGTAAACATATAATTTTTTTTTAAGTCCGCAAAAAGTCCACATACGGTCCGTGAGAAGCTGCGAAAGTCAGCAAAACAACAGCAAGTCACATCGAGCAACATATACAGTACTGTACTACATGTATATGAGAAAAAAATATATATTTATATATTTTTTTATCAATACAGTATGTTTGAAAAAATTCGTGATGCACTGAAGCCGCGATAAACGAACTGCGAAATAGTGAGGGATCACTGTACTTATTCCTGTGTTCAATAGAGAGCGTGTTACTGTGAAATTGGTGAGGCACCTCTCATCACCACGCCACACCAAGCTGCCTGATGGAGGACAGAAAGTGTCTCCATATTTGGTCGCTAACGATGGCAACTACCCTAGGACGAAATACGTTCTTTCACACTGTGCAGTGGCATTGTTAACTGCCTGAAAGAAATATGCAATCATTTTGTCTTCTTTCAATAGATAGATAGATAGATAGATAGATAGATAGATAGATAGATAGATAGATAGATAGATAGATGCATGATGAGGAGTGGAAGGTGGTCTCCAAGTGTGCATCCATAGCGATCTTGCAGTTCCTTTTACTGTAAAAGCACTTTCTCCATCCTGCATGGACTATTGCGAGTCCATGCCCCATGAAGACTGTGCGCTTCTCTTTGCACTGAATTTTTAGGGAACAAGCTGGGAACCACTTTGATTGGCCGGGAGTTGGCTGCTTTTCCTCCCACAACGGCGCAAACACCCTCTTCGATCTGTGCTAGTCGAATCCAAGCCCACTGTGGCTTGTGCTGGACTAGCCCTGTGCATGAAAATAAGGCCTTCCCTGTGTGATGACAACGTACTTGCTAGCAGCTTTTGTATGCTGCACCCTGATTTTGGACTCCTCTTCTCCCAACGGAAGCAAACATGGCTGGTCCGTTTCTATGTGAGTCGATGCGTATCGGGGCACAACTAAATGTAAAATTACACGTTGGCTTTCCTAGAATTATTTCTGAAGAGAACAGAATTGCTTTTTAGCGAACACAGCCATGTAACTTTGTAGCATTCTCCTGCCAAATAGATCCCTTATGTCACACAACATGTACAGTGATGCAAATGGACTAAATAATAATTTGATTAGAGGTAATACCATTTAAAAATGGGAATGTGTTACTACTTTATTGGTATTTTTTTCTTGTCTATTCATTTTTATTCCATTTTCTTCATCTAATTAAATGATAGGTACATTGATTTGTGAAATAAAATACACGTTTAGTCTTATCACAATGAATTATGGAGACTTTAAGCAAAAACGTGATCACCTCATGCAAGTTTCATTAGATACCATCGTGGCCTTTAAATGTAAAGTGCATGGGACACACATCTCATCACTTATGTTGTTTAGTTGACTGACTAGAAATCAAATGTTTATCTGTTTTTGTATTTCCATTCAGACAGATTGTTACATTTTAGTCTGAAATACAATAACACAAATGTCTAAATCAGGAACGGAGCTGGAATTGTGCACTGCACTGTGAGGTCTACACGCTAACCACTGGACCACCAGGCCGCCCCCCATAGAAGTAATATGATATAATTTTTTTAAAATGGTGTGTTGAATTTACTCACTTTTATTTCATCAGGTGGTTCAGATGATTCTATTGTGTCACCTTTTGACAAAATAAAATGCAGTGCAGTACATACAACACACCATGTTTTTCAAGTGTAGGTTATCATTGGGTTCACCGTTCCCCACTAGGGGGAAATCTTTACATAGTTTTGCTGTTGTCCTCCAGTCAGCTGTGTTTTCATCGGAGTAGGAATGAAGAAATGCTGTTTTTCTTTCCTACAGAGCTCTGAATTCTGAAAGGATGGGAACTTAATAATCAGCTGCTGCTCTGCTATGCTGCTTGTATTTAGCAAACTGATTCTATGGTGCTAAATTCAGGCCATAAGGTTTTAAATTTTAGGAAAAGAAAACAAACCAAAATAAAACAAACATAAAAAAAAGATTTGTGCTTTACACATCAACGATGTGGTAATGGAAGTAATCCCAAAGTCTGAAATCACAAGACATAACAGTAAAAATCTGAAAATGTAAAAAAAACAACTTTTAGAATTAAAATTATTTATTAAAACAAAACAAAAAAAAATCTATGCATTTTCTTTGACTTAGATGGGTTGTCAAAAAACAACAACAACAAAAAGTTGGAACTATGTGTACATTGCAAAATTTGATCAGCTTTTAAAATTCAAACCTGATTGTATCATGACACTCAGAGAGAACCGAGCATCCCTTGATTGCCGATCTTTTCCATTACTGGTTCTTTTCTGTTGAGGCATATTAAAAATAACATGAACAAAAACAAGAAATGGAAAGATTTATTTCGTGTTTACACTGTGGTCAAAGGCACAAAAAAAATAAAATAAATCTGAAACTTTGCAACGACTACGCTCAATTATTGTATTGGTTTCTGCACATAGATGCTTGTATGATGTGATCAGCATTTATTATTTTCTGATTGTTTACATTATTCATTAATTTGAAATTATAGAAAGATAGATAGAGTGTCGGCATGGAGCGCGGACGCGCATTTGGAACTGAGATTCGGCGCTTGGAATTGAAGCAGAATTACACGGGACAGGAGAAGTGAACCAGTCCCTTTTTTCATCACTGGATGCTACAGCTTCTTGTTTACCTTCAAACATAGCTTGTAGCAGTCGTGTGGGACGTCATGCACGTTTTGAGCATGACCTCTCTGATCCACTGGTGAAAGGACATTTTCATTCTCTCCTCTTTCATCTATAACTGGTTCAAGGAATAGTGGTTACGATTGCATGACTGTCCATGTCTTATGCTATGTTGTTATCTTACCGTATTTTGTTATTTCAGTTAACTGTTCTGTAAAATGCTTTGCTACAACAGCATCTGTTGTGAAAGCGCTGTATAAATAAAGATTTATTGTATTGTATTGTATATGAATGATTAAAAGCACTTTTACAGGACAGTGACGTTACCACACACACAAAAAGAAAGCAAGAATCCTCATCGGCAGGAGCAGCCAACCTCACTGACCTGAGATGTGGCCAGTGACATTTTATGAATCAGGATCAATATTGACTGACAGCCATGTG